AATGAGGTTGAAGCAAACTTCTAGCCAGACATGAGCATGGATCCGAGAAAATGGATCTGGGATCTGATTCCACAGATCCTGATCCCAGATTCGACGGGATCATAGATCCAGCTCTTTGATTTGTCGAGCAGAGGCGGATCCAGCTCAGAGTTTTTTTTTGGGGGGGGGGGGCAAACCATAACAATTTATCGATTCTTTCCATGCATCGTCCATAGGCGTAATGTTAAAATTCTGCCGTTTGGGGGGGGGGGCAAATGCCCATTTTGCCCCCCCCCCCTGGATCCGCCACTGTTGTCGAGAGATCCGTAGGGATCATAGATCCGAGTATAATTTTTTGCTTGGGATCCATCGAGATCATAGATCCTCGCTTATTTTTCGTCAACACAGAAATCCCAAAAAATCACTTGTTTCAGCTCACAAACATTCTGTTTTAGTGATTTTATGTGATTGCACGTCATAATGCATAGGTTTGTGGCACTAATTGGCTTAGAAACACTTGTAAACCTGGTTCCAAATCTTTTGCGTGGCGGGATCCACTCAGATCACAGATCCACGTTCTTGATTTATCGTCAGATCCTATGAGATCATAGATGCAGGATAAATTTTTCACGCCGGATCCGGTGGGATCATCGATCCTAGTCTGCAGTTTACTGCGAGATCCACTGAGATCATAGATCTAGCACTCAGATCCATGCACATGTCTGCTTCTAGCAGTGTTGCATTGGGCTGACTTTACGGGCTATTTCACACAATAGAATGAGGAATCGGCTAAAACCTACGACCTTCTCTTATATACCTATAGTTATACCTAAAGTTATATATTATGCAAATAGTTACCTATTCCTCCGATAGTTCGAGTTATCTAGCCTTTGCAGCAGAGCAAATTACGATTTAAATGTAGGGCGATTCTAAGCTCATGCTCACCTTTACCTGACTTTGCAAGTGTCAGCGCACCTTTACGCCTCAGCGATAATATGGGACTGCCCAGTAAAGCTGAACTCAGCCCGGCTCAGCGTGCGAGCGGCGTTTGTCATTGTCATGACACCCCAGGTCATGGCGAAAGCCAGTCAACTCAACTACCGTCCAGCTAAGGAGCGCCGCTAATCCTTATTAGCACGCACAGGCCCGGTAGTAAATCCTGTTCATTGCTTTTTCATGCTTACACCAGGTGAACACAGTGAGCACGCAATCGATGCTACCTATTACTGTCTTTAGGTGCTCCGGTGAATGTCTGTCAGTGCTCACGCATGGAAGAACATGGCAATAATAGTGTTTTTGCAGTTACCATGACAATTTGGCATTAGCGATACATGGCTGCCATAGTCTCGCGGCTCATCACCGTTCTCGGGGCTTTACGCGTTGTACTCGTGTATGCGTACCTACCTACAGAGTTGTATGCGTTACTGGTGGGGAGAGGGTCGTTTGATGCCCAACGTCTTGTTTCCTCTTTGGTCAGATGGCACCAAGGGTCATACAGCAATGCCTGCCATAGAGTCTGCCTTTGGTTGCTAGGTCACGAGGTGAGAAGCTGCACAGACGATATCCGAAATGTCACTAAAAATATTTCTTACATTGTTTGAGAGCATACTCGTATAAGAGATACGATCACAAGAAATAACTGTAAGGCGTAAGCTTTGCCGGAAGACATCGGTAGAGAGCTGAAACTTAAGATACTCTACTTTTTATCAAACTCAACCTTTAGGCATGATTCATCTTCAGATCAGGTGAGCTCAGTGACCTGAGGTCACCTGACCTATGACGACATGCGCAAACCTCGGCACCGTTCAAAAATATCGTGATTGCAATTCTCTAGATTCTCTAGATGATTTCAAATGTTTTTGGAGGAGGATTGCGTTTTCAGAAAACTTCATATATTATCCCATATATTCTATAAAGTAATGCCAGTATGCAAACGGGATAAACGCAAACACCTCCGGCTCCTGTTTCAAATTCCGGTGACCAGACTATGGCATATTTTTATAGCAGCATGACATAGTGACATAGAGGCAATTTACTATGACAAAACAACCATCCAATCTGGCTCCAACATTTTTCCGGTTTTTTACTTGTTTGCTTATCAAAGATTGTCATGACTTCAGTTCTCAAGTTTTATCAGTGCAGCCCTCTCGTTCATTCTCACTGAGCACAATGCACATTATTGCAAATCCCCAATACGTGTGATAACTAATGAACGTTCCCGTTACCCGGCCTACAGTGCTGTCCGGTGTCCCCCCCCCCCCCGTCAGGTTACGCCCCCCCCCCCACCCCCACTCCGACGTGAGGTGACCGACGAGACGGCTCTATTTTTATCGTCTCCGTCGTGCCATCCTCGCAGCCTAAACAGGGTCCGGACAGGTGCCACTGCCAAACTGAAACCCGAACATGACCGCGCCCGTGTCGAGACGGTCCGATGGCGTCACCCGACGGTCTCATGACGTCACTGGTCCATCGGTATCGACAAACGCCGTCAGATGGGAGTTCAACGACGTGGGCGCAAGTAGGTACATAGCATGGGCGTCAGATGGGCGCCGGGACACTGTACGTGGCTTGGTATGCAATGTGGGCGTCAGAATGGCTCTGGGACCCCACTGCTTAGAGATACATCGTCGGGCTGCCGCTGATTACGAGCGAGCGAGCGCAGCGAGCGAAGTGAGTCTTTTCAATATAACGGAAAAATCTCAGTATGAGCGGCCCGGCCCGGCCCGGCCCGGCCCGGCCTGTAACGCTTTTGAGAGGCTTATATCTCAGCAACCGCTGGACCGATTGGCCTGCGGTCTTTTTTGTTGGGTAGCCCCATCCCTTCTACCCCGTAGTTGACTACTTTTGATACATCTCAGTGACCGTCGTGGCACGTGCCACGTGAAAAGTCAGGGGTGTTCAAGCTGTTTTGCAAAAGTAGTGATTTTGAGAGGCTCATATCTCAGCAGCCACTTGGGCGATTGACTTGCGGTAATTTTTGTAGGGTAGCAGCATCCCTTCTACCCAAAATAGGATACTCTCGATGTATGTGGGTCACCCCCAGTGCACGTGCAAAATACAACAATAAGAGGTGCCAAATTTGTTCCCATTTCAGTAACTCGGTAATTACTGGGGCGATTTCGCTGAAACTTGGCATACAGGTAGGCACTCACCAGGCATTGCATTCCCATGTGTTGCGGTTAAGGTGCTACTGCACGTGCGCACGTGCAGGGGGCGTTTCCAGATCTCGAGAAGGGCTGGGCCGATTGCGCTCAAATTTGGTACACGGTTGGGGACCAGTTAGTAGGGTGCCGTGCAAAAGTCATTTTGGACCCCGTTTGCACGTGCGCACGTGCAGAATGCCGCTTCCAGATCTCAGGAACGGCTGGGCCGATTGCGTTCAAATTTGGCACACCGCTAGCGACCGGTTAGAAGGGTGCTTTGCGCAAGCCCGTTGGAAGTACCCTCTCGCCCTTCCGCACGTGCAGGGCTCACTATCTCGCTCGCTCGTTCTTCGCCCAAAAGGCGTTTTACTGGTGATATTCAATCATCAATCAACCAAATGGGAGAAGGGAAGGGGGATACACGCTCCGACTGGTTAGCTACCTCGTAAGAGAGAAAGCCTTGGAGAGAAAGACGAGCGATAGCTCTCGCAGAAAACATTCTGATTCAGAAGTATTCCGGTAATTCTTCTTTGAGGTCGACACTGAGCCCGCGGGAGGCGAATGTAAAATGTTTTAGTTTTTTTTTTAAGAATCTGCGCATAGCTTATTATCCAATCGAAGAAGCATGTAGGTATGTACGTAGCAAAAAAGTCAATCGATAACTGTTCTGTTTCAAAAATAACTTCACTGCTGCTAACTCAGATTTGACATAAAGTTAGGTACAGCTTAGCATCCAAACGACAAATAATATCAAAATTGACGTTTTTTTTTGTGTGGAACGTTTCTTCTTCTGTTGTAACTTTTGTGAAAACGCTTGTGCGACATTAACTTTAACAGCATCGTGTTTTACTCGAGACACGCCGGACAAACCTAACTGGATCTCAAAAGTCAACTTGAAAATTGTTAAATTTTTTAGGACCAAATGCAATGACTTGACCAAATAAGTTCGTGTTGCATCAGTCGATCAGTATCGTTTAGATGAACACACCTAAGGCGTTTCACCGCTTTATCATTTATCCATATCCGTCATTATACCTAGTTGTTGAGAACTGTTGGTGACCTTTCATGACCTAGTACAACCTTTGGAGTGATCGCTGGCCACCAGCTACATCCTGCCCATTACGTATCAATATAATTCCGGTCCCGTAGCTCAGTTGGTAGAGCGTTGGACTCCGCGTGGTGAGAGCACGCGTTCCGGTTATAAAAGTCCGGGTTCGAAGCGCGACGGGCGCTTGACATTTATGGGCCTCCTGACAGGTATGGTTGCGGTTGGTGGCAGGCCGTAGCCAGGCGAAGTCACCGAGGGGACCGGCCGTGCGCGGCTATGTGCACACGTTAAACTTTGGACTCTAAATTCTGCCACAGAACTGGAGTTGCGCGATCGGAGGGTAGAGGGCAGGGTCACCGCAACAAGCTCCGCTTAGCGGTGACTGTCCTTGTGAATCCTTCCTATCAAAAGATTGGGACTAAATTTATAAAAAAAAAGTTGCCATGATCCTCAAAATACAATGCGGTTTTGGCACGTTTGTTCAAAGCAGGAGAGGAGACATTTGTACTTTTCCCATCGTCGAAGCGTGCAGTTTGGGTGTGGCGCATACTAGCGTCATCTATGACCACACGCAGAACAGAACTCGGCCTGCAAGTGTCACTATTAGTAAAGGAATCCTGAGTGCCACAGGTTCTGCCCGGCGCCTCTGGACCAGCGCGGCGGGCTGCGGTGCATTCCCGCGGAGACGAGTGAGGAGCCTCTGCAGACTGGTGACTCCGACCCTACCAGACGACTGCGCACCAATGAAACGTCATCACAAAATCCACCCTGATCGACAGGTACTGCCTAGACCCCATGGATGTAAAAGAAATCAAAGTCAATGACAGTCATGTCATTATTATACCAATGTATTTGAGAAAACAAGACTAGGGTTTTATGCAGCGTAAATATAATGAAACTCACAACGTAAAATAGCATCATTGCTGTGTAAATGTCCACTGCATTTGCCAGCGCAAAACAACCAAGAAATAATAAAACACGATAAAGCTCATCTTGTCAGACATATACCAGCAGTGAAAGGGACTGGCAAAAAAGGCATAGATAAGTTGCAATCAGACGCTGGCTCCGACCCTTGAGCACGATTGAAAATGCCCAGTTGACGCCTAATTTTCTGTGAGATGAAGGAGCTTACGGCTGAGTAAATTTGGGCAGTTTTAAATAATAGATGAAAAACACTGCCGACATATAATCTCAAAAGAATCTTCATAAAAGGAAAAGAGCCACGCAAACGTATAATCCGCCAATTAAGTAGAAATTATAACCTTCCATTAAACATTTAGTCACTACTATCCTAATTGCATTGCCGCAGTAATGCATGCGCGGTTTGCGATAAAACAGTCCAGTCTGGAGGCATATCATACAACTGCGACTGATTAGACCTTCGTTCCCTAATCCAGACATGAAGCGGTCTTGGATAGAATACACCAGCGACGGGGACCATCGCTCCAAGTGGCAGGCGTTAGGCACACACACATTAACTACACAATCCGTCTGAGTTTAGCGGCTACTAGCGGGAAGGGCAGCAGGTGACGCGGAGGGCCCGGCGGGTCCAAACCGAACCACCACAAACGCCTGTTGGTGTGACACTAACAGAGCGCAGGACGTCGACAGAGGCCGGCTGTCTAACCGGGCCTCGCGAGGCTAGTCGGTGAGTACCTTCCCGGTCCCTGCATGGCACCTCTGAACCTGGCCTCAGCACAGCTGGGTAGTCGCCGGGCGCGAACCAGCTCACAGCTAGCCCTAGCATATGGTGAGTCAGCTTACAGCTAGCTCTGGCATACTGTGCGCAAGTCAGCTCACAGCTAGCTCTGGCATACGGTGAGTGAGCTCACAGCTAGCTCTGGCATACTGTGCGCAAGTCAGCTCACAGCTAGCTCTAGCATACTGTGAGTGAGCTCACAGCTAGCTCTGGCATGCTGTGCGCAAGTCAGCTCACAGCTAGCTCTGGCATACGGTGAGCGAGCTCACAGCTAGCTCTGGCATACTGTGCGCGTCAGCTCACAGCTAGCTCTGGTATACTGTGCGCAAGTCAGCTCACAGCTAGCTCTGGCATACTGTGCGCAATTCAGCTCACAGCTAGCTCCAGCAGAGGGTGTGAGTCAGCTCACGGCGAGCTCCGACCGGACATGCCTAATGTGAGTCGACTCGAGATACCCTGACTCGCGTGGCTCACCATGACAGCTCACGGTGGCTCATCTCACCATACTCATCCGTTATCAGTCTCAAATCCAACACACCCAACCTTCATCTTCGTCCTCACACGACCGACTCCGGTGCTCTGCATCCTCCCACCACCCGCTCCACCTCAACACCATCCCTCTCTCTCCCGTCTCACCGCTCTCACCGCCCGATGCGTATCTCACACGGCCGCTCAGTCCGCCGGGTCACCCGAGGCCCGTCATAGCTCGTCGTCGAAGCGGTGCAGGTTGGTCAGGTGCTCTCCGTAATCAGTCGCTTCGCTGCCCACGAACACGTCGTGGTGGTCGAGCACCTCTTCGAACGACAGCTGCTCGTCCATGTCGTCGTCGGCAGAGGAGAACAGGTGGTCCACCTCGTCGTCCGCGATCTCACTGCGGGAGGGAACAGGCCGGGGTTAGAGCGCAGCGAGTTAGAAGCAAGGTATGGCCGATGATGCATTTCTCGACAGTCATTGCTTGAAGAACTGCGATGATGAAAAATGAATCAAATAGGCAAATCGAGGAAATTTCGTCACCGGAACTGATCTGTTCAAAGGAAGGACCTAAACAATTGAAAGAAAACCGAAAAGGTGGTGGATGTCAGAATGAATTCCAAATCTAACGCACGTATTTTTTTTTCATGGGCATCAATATAAATACTCGCAATGAGTCTGAGAAGCCAAGCTTATAACGAAGACCTGGAAGTTTAGCTTTCCACGGACACACCATCCTTAGAAATATTTATGTGGGTGACATTTCGAAGAGGGACTTACTTGTTACTGGGCAGCACCCATCCGAGAATCTCGTCCCTGTTGAGGCGGCCGTCCCGATCCTTGTCGTAATCATTGTCGAACTTGTCCTTCTCTGAGTCCAGCCACGCCTGGTCCTTGTCCTTGGCTGTGAAACAATGGGATCAGAATCAGCCAGCGTCAATGTTTCATGATGAAAAATACCTACCAGTATCATTGACACCATACACAGGATGATTCCCAAATCCTAATGCCACAAATTTATCAGATTTCGCATTGAAAAGTTGGTTGTTAGCTAAACACATTGAGAGGATAAAGTGAAAATTGTTTAATCGTTTAATTGTTTTTTGAATGACCTCCTTACAAAATTATACTTTTCATTCATGTATTTTTGTTTTAGATGAATTTTCGGCCACGGGCCATGATCACATCAATGCCAAATATAGGAATATTGGAAGACAAAATACAAATTAGGTACAAGTCGAATCATCGTCAGTTTCTATCTTTCTACTTTTCGCGTGATAAGAATGACAGGCACTTTCACACTTGGTAATGGGTACACTCAAGTAATCGTTACATTCGCACATATCTGCATGGAAACATGAAAAAACACACTTAACCTCATCCTATCACTATAAAGGTAACACTTTGCTTTGCATGATACACATTTGGCACAAAATACTTAGGTATGAATTACTGACTTATGAATGTGCGTAGGCATGATGTCTGCGGCGAGTGATAACAGCTACAAAATGTGCCAAGAAGATATGTTTCGGTTGAGAACCGGTCTGTGTTTGCGAATTTGGATAGATTCACATATTTTTCTGTGTGGATGGTCACTTGTCTTTTGCAGGATTTCTACCGATAAAGGTGTGTTCCCTGAAGTGTCAAGATACTCCTGATGAGTGACGGTAAAATGATCTCCGATGGGCGTATCCGGTGTTTTGTTTTTAGCGTTTCTAAGGTGTTCGTTAAATCGCAGCCTGATGGGTCTTTTTGTCTCTCCTACGTATGTGACATCCTTCCCCCTTACTTTGCACAGCGCACAGGTGATTTTGTAGACTACCCCAGAAGTTAAGCATTTACCTTTAAGACCAGACTCACAAGCATGACATGTCCGTGTGCCAGACGGGCATTGTGGCTGAGAGAAAGCTGAACGAGTTAGAGCGCTTTTGAGAGTTTTAGTGTTACGCCATGCTACGCGTACGTTTAGGCCTGACTTTTTAACGATGGATTTCACTTTGGCGTTTACAGCTTCATCAATGTAAGGAAGAGTTAAGTATCCGTCCAGAGAGTCGGGTTCTTTTTTGCGTCGAGAGGGTTGCCCTCCTGCATCTGAGTCCCCCCTATAGCTTTGTGCGACCTCTCTGTGAAGTCGTCGCACGAGCTGTTTCCGGTAGCCGTTGGCTTCAAATAAGTCCTGTATTTTTTGACAGGAGCGGGAGGTGGCGGCTGTATCAGAGGACACTCGCATAGCCCGTAGGAACTCTGAACGTATTACGGCCTTTTTCGTGGCCATTGGATGTGATGAGGTTTGGTGAATGATGATGCCTGAATGATTGGGCTTGATGTACAGTTCTGTTGAATATTTGAAATTGTTATCTACCGTTACTAGTGTGTCCAGAAAGGCTACTTTACCAGAAGAGAAGCTGTCCTCAAGAGCATGGGTGTCGATTTGTATACCTTTGGGGGTGCTGCAGCACCCCCAATGCTCAAATGAGCACCCCCAATGGTTTTCCGGGCACCCCCAATGGTTTTGTCCCTCAATAACTCTGCTTTAGGAAAATAATTGTTCTGCAGTAGTTCACTACTAAAAATAAAACAATTACGCAACTTACAAGGCATGAAATAAAGATGTAAAGAAAAGAAAATTTATATTTAAGAAGAAGGGCGAAAAAAAACGTTAAGTTGCAAAGATGGTGTGGGTCCGTCGTACACGGGTGTCGGACCCTTAGAGCTGCTGGCGCGTACCCTTTACAAGCCGGCAGGGGGCTCCAGAGACCGGCGACGGGCCCTCAGAGGCCGGCAAAGGGTCATCAGAGGCCGGTGGTATGTACGTACCTTCAGAAACCCTGTGGGGTCATCTTTAGAGACCGGAACGGGCTCAGGCGCTGATGGGGCCCTCAGAGTCGCCGGTGTGGGGCCTTCAAATGTCACCGGTGGCAGGGTGGCCGTCACATGCGCACTTGTGGGGCCTTCAGAAGCTACGATGTTGGGCCCTCAGAGCCGCCGATATAGGGCCTTAAGAGGCACTAGTGTGGGGCCCTCAGATATGGCAATGTGGGGCCCTCGGACTGGAGGCGCCGGTGTGGGGGCTCTCAGAGACACTGGTTTAGGGCCATCACAGGCGCGCGTTGGGCCCTCAGAACTGCTGTTACGGAACGGATCCTTCATAGGCCGACAAGAAGATATCAAGAGGTCACCGGTGCCTTCAGGAGCCTTGTGGGGTTCTCAGAGACTGGCATGGTGCGCTCAGACGCCGCTGGGACCCTCCGTGTCACCTGTGTGGGGCCGTCAGGGTCGCTGGTAACTGTCAAGGGCCCTCAGAACCGCCCATGTAGGGTTTTTAAAGGCATTGGTATAGGGCCTCAGAGTTAGGGGTGTGGGGCCCTCAGAGACGCCGGTGTGGCGCTCAGGGGCGCCGGTGAGGGCCCTCACAGTCGCCGTTATAGGGGCCCTCAGAGAAATGGGTGTGGGGCCATTACAGGCGGGTGTGCAGCTCCTAGAGCTGGCCCCCTAGAGGCCGGTTAAGACCCCCAGAGGCCGGCAAATGGCCCTCAGAGGCTGGCTTGGGGCCCTTATGGAGATCTTAATGTTAGTACTTTTGGGCCCATGAGGTGTTCTTACGAGCCCTGTGGGGCCCTTCTGAGTCCAAATATAGCCAACGTAGACCCTCAGTGGCCAATTGGCGCCGCAGTGCCCCTCAGGCCCGAATAATCCGATGGGCCCCTGAACCTGATGGGGCGGGGGGGGGGGGGGCTCACGGGCCCACCTGGCTACGCCACTGAGGAAAATCGTAAACCCATGAATATCGAATTGCAATCACCTGTTATTTTTTTCAGCGATTATTGTGATCGTCTGATAAACGCCAGAGCCTCGTAGCTATACCGTTGCCTCCCGCGCAATGTCCGCCCCTGCGGACCGCAGGGGCTGCTGCACCGGTGCTAATCGCGGTCATCGGTTTCTGTCACCTTATTACAGAGGTGTCGGGGCTGCTGCCGAGCTGCCGGCAAATGTAGGGGAGAGTGGGGCAAAGCGGCCACCCTAACGCTTCTCACTATGCCAACGCTTGATTTTTAAATTTGGAAAGATTCTTTCTATACCAATGTGATCCCTATTAAGTTGCCTTTTATTTCAACAGCGTTTTATTTCCAAAGGCGTTCACATAGGAAAGATATTGACAAAACTTTAAACCTATGTATATTGGCCACTTTGCCCCATACCCTGGGGCAAAGCGGCCACCGGCGTCTTCTCAAGTCCCGATATGAGAAACAAAATAGTTGCCTCGTGTGCGACTAGGGTATTTGATGGTGACAAGGTTAAGCGAGGATGGATGTTTACTTTATCATCTTCCACCTGTAGGTAAACAAAGAAAGGATTTTCATGAAAAAAAAAAACATTTAATTGCATTATTTGGTAACTCATGCAACTGAAAAGTGGCCAAGATGAATGCATGACGACATATTTGAATATAAATAATGTTTTTTATCCAGATGGAAGCAACTTATGGCCAATTGGGGGGTGGCCACTTTGCCCCGGCCACTTTGCCCCGCGCATACCGTCCGAGACAAAAATATTCCAGCTTAGCTATTAGTGGGGTAAAAAACATTAAAATTGGTAGAATACATGTGCGATAACCATGCAATGCATGGACAAGAACGCTTATAAAAATTTCAAACGGTTATGGAATAACATAACATTTAAAAATTGTAAACATAGTTGGTAACCTGGCAAGAAATGCTTTCCGTGTTTCACAAAACAACGGTGATGGGCCTGAAACCCCGGTCTGGCTCATTCGAACGACCGTGAAGAGAAGTATAGGTAATTGGAAACCATAAATTGGAACTGACGCCAGCCATGAAGGGCTAAAACGATGGGTGGTCGCTTTGCCCCGGGTGGCCGCTTTGCCCCACTCTCCCCTACGCGTTTTTTCGGAAAGATGTTTATGTAATGAGGTAGCCAAGTACTAGGACGAGCAGAATGATTTTGAAGAACGTTCAACCTTTGGGAAATATTAGTGGAAATCCCGGGATTATCAGTACCTTATGGGGATACACAACCATGCCTTGTAGGTACGGTTGTGCCCCATGGCAAAGCTACAATCTTTCACCCGGTGCAGGGGTTGAGCACCCCCAACCATTTTGAAAAATCGACACCCCTGCTCAAGAGTGAATTTGATTGTTGGATGAATTGAATTGAGATAGTCAATGAAACTCAGAAGGTTCTCGCGACCGTGTGTCCACACTCCTATGCAATCGTCAATGTACCTGCCATAGAAATCTGGTTTTAGAGACGCGTTTCTGATGGCGCTCTGCTCGAAGTGGTGCATGAAGATGATGGCCACAGGAGAGGCCACTTTGTTCCCCATGGCGATCCCCACTTGCTGTTTGTAGTGGTCGTCATCGAATCTGAAGGTGTTGTTCTCCAGAACGTGAGTCAGAAGTCGTGTGACGTCCTCCGTGGATAGACCGCACAGGTCGATCAGAAACGCGTCTCTAAAACCAGATTTCTATGGCAGGTACATTGACGATTGCATAGGAGTGTGGACACACGGTCGCGAGAACCTTCTGAGTTTCATTGACTATCTCAATTCAATTCATCCAACAATCAAATTCACTCTTGAGGACAGCTTCTCTTCTGGTAAAGTAGCCTTTCTGGACACACTAGTAACGGTAGATAACAATTTCAAATATTCAACAGAACTGTACATCAAGCCCAATCATTCAGGCATCATCATTCACCAAACCTCATCACATCCAATGGCCACGAAAAAGGCCGTAATACGTTCAGAGTTCCTACGGGCTATGCGAGTGTCCTCTGATACAGCCGCCACCTCCCGCTCCTGTCAAAAAATACAGGACTTATTTGAAGCCAACGGCTACCGGAAACAGCTCGTGCGACGACTACACAGAGAGGTCGCACAAAGCTATAGGGGGGACTCAGATGCAGGAGGGCAACCCTCTCGACGCAAAAAAGAACCCGACTCTCTGGACGGATACTTAACTCTTCCTTACATTGATGAAGCTGTAAACGCCAAAGTGAAATCCATCGTTAAAAAGTCAGGCCTAAACGTACGCGTAGCATGGCGTAACACTAAAACTCTCAAAAGCGCTCTAACTCGTTCAGCTTTCTCTCAGCCACAATGCCCGTCTGGCACACGGACATGTCATGCTTGTGAGTCTGGTCTTAAAGGTAAATGCTTAACTTCTGGGGTAGTCTACAAAATCACCTGTGCGCTGTGCAAAGTAAGGGGGAAGGATGTCACATACGTAGGAGAGACAAAAAGACCCATCAGGCTGCGATTTAACGAACACCTTAGAAACGCTAAAAACAAAACACCGGATACGCCCATCGGAGATCATTTTACCGTCACTCATCAGGAGTATCTTGACACTTCAGGGAACACACCTTTATCGGTAGAAATCCTGCAAAAGACAAGTGACCATCCACACAGAAAAATATGTGAATCTATCCAAATTCGCAAACACAGACCGGTTCTCAACCGAAACATATCTTCTTGGCACATTTTGTAGCTGTTATCACTCGCCGCAGACATCATGCCTACGCACATTCATAAGTCAGTAATTCATACCTAAGTATTTTGTGCCAAATGTGTATCATGCAAAGCAAAGTGTTACCTTTATAGTGATAGGATGAGGTTAAGTGTGTTTTTTTCATGTTTCCATGCAGATATGTGCGAATGTAACGATTACTTGAGTGTACCCATTACCAAGTGTGAAAGTGCCTGTCATTCTTATCACGCGAAAAGTAGAAAGATAGAAACTGACGATGATTCGACTTGTACCTAATTTGTATTTTGTCTTCCAATATTCCTATATTTGGCATTGATGTGATCATGGCCCGTGGCCGAAAATTCATCTAAAACAAAAATACATGAATGAAAAGTATAATTTTGTAAGGAGGTCATTCAAAAAACAATTAAACGATTAAAATAAATGCCTTACATTCAGCAAGCACTTAACGAATGAAAATTGTTTATCACATAAGCTTCCATACGTCAACAAAGAACAAATTTAGAACAGTAACCCGTCACCCAAAAATATTACACAAGGAAAGCGATGACAAAAAGTCGTATCCTACCTCGACCCCAGTCTACAGGAGAGTTACGAACGCAAAATGCTCTCCTAATCGAAGCGTCATCCCAAACGCCAAATATTGAACGGGAGTCATCAATGAATAAACAAACCGGGTGAACGGTGGTAATAACAAAGCGGCGGACGGAGCCCGGGCATTGGCGAGGATAAGATACGATCTGCGGCTCTGATCACACCCGGTACCGCGCGCGCGCGTGCGTCTCTCTCTCTCTCTCTCTCTCTCTCTCTCTCTCTCTCTCTCTCTCTCTCTCTCTCTCTCTCTCTCTCCTCCGCTTCCCTCCCGTCCCCACTAACCCTGATCGCCGACAAACTCCTGGAAGTTGATGAAGCCATCCTTGTCCTTGTCCTTCTCCTCGAGCGTGTGGTCCACCACTACGGGGATCATGGCGGGGTCCTCCTCCGGGTGCGAGAACGACAGGAACTCGGAGCGCTGCAGCACGCCGTCACCGTTCCTGTCGGCCGCTTTGAACAGGTTGCGGTCCTCGCTCATCAGCTGGTGAAGAGAAACAGACCAGCGGAGAGTGAGATGATGGTTAGTGCCTGTTGAGTGCTGAACCGGCCGACAATATGACACAGGGACAACGGACAGATGGGAAATCCGCTGAGACGAAACCGGGTAGGAGAAACGACTATCGTTATACCGACCCGTGATATCGAGGGTGCTCAAACCAAACCACGACTAGTGATTGCCGAGGAAAAATGAGCGAGTCAAAAATAGATTTTCGAATGTGTTGCAATAGCTAATCGTGACACAGGACGTCGCGGATGGGACAGAAACAGAACACAACCTGAAAACAGTGACGGTCCCACCGCAACCTCCCACATTAGCGGCCCTCTCTCCGTCTCCCTTGTCGCCCCACGTCCTCTCCCGCGCCCCTCGTCCTCTCCCGCGCCCCTCGTCCTCTCCCGCGCTCCCTCGTCCTCTCCCGCGCCCCTCGCCCTCTCCCGCACCCCCACCTTGTCCTCCTCCGCCTTGTCGGCGGCGCTGAGCACGTCGTCATCGTCCTCGTCGTCTTTGGCGCCGTACGTCTCGGCCACGTACTCCTTCCAGGTGATGTGGTCGTCGCCGTCCTCATTCACCTCATCCCACCGTTCGGCAGACTCCTCCTCCGACAGCATCCTGGGGAGATGAGGGTAAGAGGATGTTTCCAGATTATAATTGGTCTCGCAGTTCTCCGTAGCTATAAATCACCATCGCTGATATGCTCGCCTCGCAGCTTTTCCGTCTCGCATTTCCTCAGGCAGCGAATTTCTCCGGAACAGGTAAAAACAATGTTGAAACGAAAAATGTGAAATGAAAAATGCCGTGACAAAAAAGCTTATAGGAAGAAATGCAATGAGTGATAAAAAACGCCGAAACACCCAAAGCTTAGTGACTCACTTGAAAGAGCGCAGTATCCACTTTTTCAGCTCATCCCTGCTGATCTTCTTGTCGCCATCCTTGTCCATCTTCAGCAGTAGCTGTCCCAGCCGCTCCTTGGCTTCTTCTGGCTCCAGGTCGTCAAACTCCTCAGCTTCCTTGTGACTCCCTAATCAGCCACAAACGCATGGACGTCAGTGAGGAGAGCATGCAAGACTGATAAGGCAGCTGCTGGCAGATCAGCTCAGTCAGCGAGAAACTGACTGGCTAACTTAATCTACCCCAGCTGAGGGGAGAAGGATTGGTGACACCCAATGGCTGTCTTTTTTTCAAGATTGCTTGCATGTTAGAGGCAAAGAGCTGACAGTTGGCACACCTCCCTATGATTCAAGCCAGATCTTGTGACACCAACTTCATTTTAAGTCGTCAGGTCACTGACCTATAATGTCAAATGAATTTGTCACCCAAGTTTCACCAACCATTTGAAAAGAGCACAGATGTGAAAAATATCAGATATGCTGACTGAAAATGGTTTAAATCAGGAAAATGTTCTCTCATTTTTTTTTTTTTTTGGTGGCTGGCAAAACTTGTGGGTCATTTTTAACTAAAAATAACCTCAGCTTTTGACTTTTCTGTTAGTAGGACTGGTCTCTGATATCAGGTCATCATTTCACCTGAAGTTTTAAACTTGTCTTGTATTGAAATAAGCACTTCTTTACTCAGCAAAGCTTTAGCTCAGTATAAGAGGCATAATAGCAAGGGAGGGGTACTTAGTACTTGCACCCTGGCAGGGGCATGTGCTGAAAACCAAGAAACCCTGCAAAAGTTAAATGTAGTTTGACATTCCAAAGGCATAATTTATCAGCAAACATTAATAATTCACAAACCAAAAAAACAGATACACCATCAGTAATACTTTGCCATCTCCAATGACTCTGTGACACACCTAGAATGGCCTCATGGTCAAACTGGTCATCATGGTCGTCCCCATCCAGGTGGTACTTGTTCCGTGGACTGAAGGCACCATCCTCCTCACGTTCACGCTGGCCCACATGCCGATGACTGACAGCTGCCTCAGCTGACAAGACCAGCAACAAGCTCATCACCAAACACAGATGCATCTTCCGTTGTGGTTGGTGGCTGTAATACACAAAGAAGACAGACACAAATTGGTGAACTGAGCGAATATTTAAATTTAGATGAGAAAATTTTGATATGCTTCCATACATTTCCAGCATAAAATAAAGAGCAAAGATACATTTAGCCCCTGAGGACTATTTTCTAAAACTTGAACTAAGGTGTTCAGTGTAACATCAACACAACAATAGACAGGGACGTCAGAGAGACTTGCGATTCTCAACATTCGTAAAGGTATTGGTTATAACTTATAACAATACTTACCAAAATTCAATGAAAAAATATTATCGAATTGTGATTAAAACAGAAGCACTGCGCCAATCAAAATTATCCCTTGTTTATTCAAAGCACACAAAGAATCCAACGTAGGCGGGAGAGACAAATGTCTCAAAAGCGGCATTTTTGAAGCAAAAATTTACGACTGCTGGACACCTAGCGGTATTTTATTTGAGATTAAAAAATGTGAATATACATTACAGATATATGCTTTTTAAAATTATGATTCATAACATTTTATCTCAAAAATAGGAAAACATTGTTCAATATATGTATAAGAACTAGAAAACATGAAACACGTAACAATACTGATGCGGCGACAACTTGCTTTCTATCGATTACCTACCGAATACCTTGGAATACCTACCGTATCCCTCATCAAACCGCACGTAAACCGCACATAAAAACATCAAGAATAAGATCTACAAAATATACAGAGGAAAATTGGTTGAAGGGTGCGTGAATATTTGATTTGTGCCTGATATCTATAAATACCTTGGTAAATGTCAAGTTTAAGTCCTAAGAAGATTTCATTGATAAATTTTTCATATTTTTACATTATTTGACATCCTGAATCCAAAAATGATACTCATATGTCTCGCAAATAAAAGAAAAAAACATAATCAAACCTGACCTAACCTTACCTACTTACCTATAACCTACCAACCTACAACCTACAAACCTACCCTAACCTAACCTAAATTACAAACCTACCTACCTACAACCTAAAACCTACAAACCTACAACCTAACCTAACCTAAAACCTAAAATTTTTGCTGTTTCATATTCGTATCAAAAGCGCCACAATTGTAGTTAGGACCTAAACTTGACATATACCACCATGGGCACCAATATCATGTCAGTGTTTTGAGACAACAGATTGATCATCATTTCGCTCCAGCTCAGCTTGAGCTAGCTGGTTTGAAGTTTGAATTACAATTAATTCAATTGAATTGAATTGAATTATTTGTATTCAATTGAATTGTAATAGGCATCAGCATCGCCATTGCCATGGCCATCTACTAACAGCTAAAGTTGAAGTCACCTCATTTTTCGGCCAGATCAATCGTTTTATTTGTATAGCCTTGAGAATCGCGACGCATTGTACTCATACTCCCCAAAAAGGTTCTCTATTTTCCAAAAGCTACGAAAGAAAAACCACTTAACGTGGAGTTTTGAATCGGAATAGCAGGTTTGTAGCTTGAGCCGATTCTGAGAATAACATTTATGACCTGACAGGAGGATTATATTTCTTATAATATAAAGGTGTAATCTGCAAACTGTGCTAAATGTGCTGACAACTGTCTCATCTCAATCTCACACAAGTACACAAATTCTGCAAAAGAAGTTCATAGTTCTAAACTTAATACCTCAACCTGGTATTGGTACTGATAATACTGCCAATCCTGACTATCCCAGTCGGGGAAACTATGGTAAAATCTGCTATTTTTAGCAGTCTGCTATTTTTAGCAGAAATCTGCTAAAAATGGGTACGCATGTGACGTCATCGTACCCAAATATAGCAGATTTGGATACGGCCCCCAACAAAAGCAGATCTGCACCCTAATTGAAGCAAATGCGCATCAAATGCCTGGCAGATTCGTGATTAGAATAGTGCTGAGAATGTCCTCTGATATTTTTGTTCAGATCCGACTATTTTCAAATAATGAATTTGAAAATAGTCGGATCTAAACAAAAATAGCAGAGAACACTCTCAGCACTATTCTAATCACTAATCTGCCAGGCATTTGATGCGCATTTGCTTCAATTAGGGTGCAGATCTGCTTTTGTATGGGGCCGTACCCAAATCTGCTATATTTGGGTACGATGACGCCACATGCATACCCATTTTTAGCAGATTTCTGCTAAAAATAGCAGACTGCTAAAAATAGCAGATTTTACCATAGTTTCCCCGACTGATCCAGCATTTCCTGGACTGAACATCTGTGTCATTAATGACTTCCTTGACTGAATGTGTGTGACCCACAGTGTATTCTGTATCTGCTGAGCTTGGTATGCATAGGTACTGATTTCAAACAAAACCTGTTAAAATACAGGATGCTTGCATAATTTCTTGGAGGATCTTGTGTAGTCTAGCTTGGCTTTAATCCTAGACTAAAGGTGTAATCTGTAAACTGTTGATGGGCAGCCAGGGAAGGTACCTACTACCTACAGCAGTAGACGGTGTGCAGGGTTCCAAGCATTAGGCAAATTGTATCTGCCTTGGGGCTTGGGGGCAGCTTTTCATTTCTGTGTTATTCCACTTTTGCTGTGTTCTGCTCTGCTCTGTATTGGTGTGTGGTATAAATGCTCAAAACTTGTTTTTCAGACATCATGGCACCCTCCAAAGAAAAGAAACCATCTACTGACTGGAAGAAATGGGTAAAATTTGAGTACATGCGGCTGCGGGCGCTGCGCCGTTACAAGCGGGCCGATGAAATTAAATCGGCGTGGAACGAGAACCGGCAGCTGCTGTCAGGTACGTGTCATTTCAGTCCCCGCCCTTCCCAGATTGCGTGACTCTGCGGGCTTAGTAAGCACCGTTCGGCCAGGAATAAACCAGCTGGGCAGATTGATCCTTGGTTCGACCGAGTGCGCGATTGCGGTCCCTTCCACCGAACTGACGCGGCGTGCACTCCTCTCCGAACTCGAGGGGCGCGGCTGGGGAGGGGCGGCCGGGCTGTCGAAACCCTCTGCACTAATGTGGCTGAATGCATAAGTACGTATCGCAAATGTTCGCATGACAAAATGCACGTTGGCAAATTTGCGTAGGACAAAGTAAGTATCGCAAATCTTCGCAGGGTATAAAGGAGTTAGATACCGACAAGATTTATTTAGGTAATGTCAGGTTAGGTCATATCGGGTTATGTTTACTTTGGTTGGGATAGGTTGGATTAGGCAAGGGTCAGGCTGGTTTGGTTAGGTCAAGTTAGGTCAGTCGGGTACCTGAGTATGTTTTTAGTGATACTTACTTTTGCCCTCGAGTACTTTATAGCTTAAGTACTTTTGCGTAAGAATATTGGTGTACGTACTTTTGTCCCACGTACTTTAGCGAAACGTACTTTCGTCCTAGAATCGCGAAAATGCCATGTTGGTGTGTGACGACAAAGTGGCGTTTGGGCCACTTGGTGTTCCAGAAACCTACCTGTATGTCAGCCAGTACCTCACCAAAGATCGTGTAAAACGCACCCGTCAACGGCGCATCAGCTAGGTGTAGATCGTCCGTGAGATGTCAGGTGACAGTGGGTGCTTAATCGGTAGACTACCAGTGGTTGCTTAGTATTATCACTAGATCTTCATCTGTTGTCAGCTCTCCTGACCCCTAATCTTTGAGCTGACTTCTGACCCACAGACCAGCTGCTTGACGAGGACCGCCGTCAGCTCTCCTGGCCTAGTCTGACCTGACCTCTGATCTGACCTCTGACCTGACCTCTGATCTGACCTCTGACCTGACCTCTGATCTGACCTCTGACCCGACGTCTGACCCACAGACCAGCTGCTGGACGAGGACCGCCGCCAGCTCTCCTGGCCTCTGACCTGACCTCTGATCTGACCTCTGACCTGACCTCTGACCTGACCTCTGATCTGACCTCTGACCTGAGCTGACCTCTGACTCACAGACCAGCTGCTTGACGAGGACCGCCGTCAGCTCCCTGGCCTCTGACCTGACCTCTGACCTGACCTCTGATCTAAGTTCTGACCTGAGCTGACCTCTGACCCACAGACCAGCTGCTCGACGAGGACCGCCGCCAGCTCTCCTGCCGCGCCGTCTGGGTGGCGCCCGTCGAAAAGCAGCTCCAGGGCAAGATTAACAAGATGGCGGTGGCCGATGTGATGTGCGGGGAGAGGCGCGATAAGCACAGCGTGCCGCTGAGGATGCTTTATCAGGCCAACCCGCTGCCCACCATGTACAAGTGGTCGCCGATACAGAACAACTTCATGGTGCGTACAGAAGGAGTATGGCGGGCTGGTGGTGCTTGGTGATTGGTAGTTGACTGCTGGGATGTGGAGAGCTTTTAGGATGATGGATAGGTTAGGAGAGCGAGAGGGAATGGCGGGTACGCTATCGGAGGTAATTCAGGTGTCCCGCTTGACTTGATAATTCCGATTTTCATTGTTTTCTATCTAAGTTTTGATAACTTTTTCGTATTTTTTAAACTATTGGTTCCAATCGAGAAGCGACAGCCGGCGTACTGTATAGGGATAATCGTGGTTTACAGAGGCGACCAAGTGGCGTGGTACGTCGTGATCGACCACGTCGAGCCCATAATGTAACTACAGCCGTGGCTTGCATAGCAATTGTCTACCTTCAGTTGCATCCACTTGCCAACTTTGCCACCAGGTGGAGGACGAGACCGTGCTGCACAACATCCCGTACATGGGGGACGAGGTGTTGGACAAGGACGGCTCCTTCATCGAGGAGCTCATCAAAAACTACGACGGCAAGGTGCACGGCGACCAGGAGCCCGGCTTCATCGACGACGAGATCTTTGTCGATCTCGTGAAGGCGCTCATCCCTCACCAGGTGAGACACGAGCCACTGGTTAGATGGGAGAGACAGAGAAGAGAGAGGGAGAGAGAGCAGGGAGGAGAGGGGGGGCTTTAGTGATAAGTATTCCAGCCGAGAGCGCCAATGACGTTAATTGTCTGCGAAGAAATGGCTGTTTTCACAATGATAAAATTTTGTTTGTCAGTGTTTGGCTTTAGAAGCATCTATTCTTTCAACTTGAACCCACTACTCATTCTTTCTAAATGCTGTATAAATATCAAATATGTTGTGACGCCCCACGCCCGTGCGCCCCTGCCTGATGTCTCCCGTCCGTCTATCTCAGAACAAGGACGGCGGCGAGTCGGAGACTGACAGCGGGGACCCGCCCCAGCCGACGATGGCCGTGTTCGAGGCCATCTCGGACATGTTCCCCGACAGAGGATCGCCCAGGGAGCTCAAGGAAAAGTGAGTCGGCGATCTCGTGCCGTGTAATGTTTTGAGGGATAAGTCTCGTGCATTAGCTGATCCATATTTTTATTCAGCAATTGCCTTTCAGATGGAGTTAAGTGCTTAACAACGATGTGTGTAGTTGCTGTGCCATTCATTACATCATAGTTTCTGAAACTAACAGTTTAGGACTAGTTATGAAAAAGTGATCGAGGCTTCATGGGCGCCGATGACCAGACTGTACTCAGGGCGCCCAAAACCCCAATTCATCATCATCAGTGATCGAGGCAGCAGCTTGAAGATATAGCGTTGAGTCCTGTTTTTTTATGAAACGACCTTGTTTTTATGAATCGGATAGCTTCTTCCAACACTGATATTCTCCAGCGCTCGGCTCAATCGCTGTGCCTCGCTATCACTGCTAACACGCTTTACCTCGTCTGTCCCAGGTACCAGGAGCTGATCGACCCCCAGGCGCTGCCTCCCGAGTGTACCCCGAACATCGACGGGCCCAGCGCTCAGTCGGTGCCGCGGGAGCAGACGATGCACTCGTTCCGCACGCTCTTCTGCCGCCGCTGCTACAAATACGACTGCTTCCTGCACCGTGAGTAGATGCGTGGGGAATCTGCGCTCTGGGCGGAGCCGGGCAGTGGTTAGAGTTTGGGAGGTAAAATTATAGAGAAACGAGAATGGGAACGAAAAGTTATTGAACTTTGAATGCGATAAGCTATGTGTCGTTTATTGATAACAACCTTGATCGGCTGGCTTTGAGTGCATTATGAAAACGGTAGGTGATTGATGTTTCAGTGACCGCCGACCGGTAGGCGATGTCACTGTTTGAATGAGTAATTGTGTTGTCTTGCATTCAGTTCTGATACCACCAATTCCTATTTGCCCGCCCGCCCGTAGCCCGAGCCGAGCCGAGCCGAGCCGATCCGCCCGTAGCCGAGCGAACGTTCAGTTCGTCCTCCATTCTTGAGGACACTGTGAGTTTGTAACGTGACTGCAATGATTGTGTTTAAAACTTAGAATAAAGTTAGTTGAATTTCCACGAGATTCCTATTTTATCGCAGGTCTGAAGTCGTACCACCCGGGACCCAGCACGCACAAGCGCAAAACTCCTGACCTGCCCATCTCTACGGAGCCGTGCGGCGAGAACTGCTACCTGCATTTGGTATGAATGAGTTCAGTGACCAGTCCCCCTCCCCTCCCACCCATCCACACACGGCGAGAAGTGCTACCTGCATTTGGTATGCAATATGCATGCATGGGTTTCATTCCCCTCGCCCCCTCACACACTCCCCATCCGGACCTGACCCTTTCGCTGGCTGCATCCAATCTGAACTACTATTGAAATATATTGATATCGTAATGGGCTTAGCGATGTAATTGCTCTCATGCCTCATGTCATACAAGCCACCCCCTCACTCACCACCATGATAGCCTCATATGAGCTGCCACCCCCGGCGGCCCATCCAGTAACACCTCACCTTCTGACCGTCGCCCGCCGTCTCCCCCTGTGCACAGGACGGCGAGCGGGATAAGATCGTGGCGCGCCTCCAGCCGACGGAGGAGGATGCCGCCGACAGACAGAGGAAGACGCCCAAGCCGTGGTCGGTCGACTCGGGAAACGAGGCCAGCTCGGAGGACAGCAACGACAGCGTGCACCCGGAGACCACCAAATCGGCACTCACGGGTGAGCCGTGAGAGGGTCGGGAGACCCGCGCCGGAGGCTATTATTAACTTCAGTGACCGGTGGTGTCTTAATGGTTCGCTTCTGTTGTCTGTCTTTTCTGGTTCTGATGCTAATAATATGAACATGTTTCCGCATGTAGTTCTTCCTGGCAGGAATCCTGAATTGTGGTGTAGCCATTACGAACTCAAAGGGGATTACAAAATGCGGACTTGACTCCCCCTCTCTCTGCCCCTCTTCCTCAAGGATCATTTCAGGCTGTGGTGACGATCATGAACTCACGAGGCACAACCTGACGACCCCCCCCGCTCCTCCCCCCCCCCCCAGAAGCCTTGTACGGTTTGCTAACACACATCGATTCCCTCCTACCCATCAGGCGCCCTGCAGGGCGTGGTGACCAGCATGGACCGCAGTCGCCGCCGGACCGGCTCCGGTGACGCCTCCACCGGTACGGCCGCCTCGGGCGTCTCCCCGGACCCTACCGTCGAGGACGAGGCGTGGACGGGCGCCGACCAGAGTCTGTTCCGCGCCCTGCACCCCATCTTCCTCAACAACTACTGCGCCGTCGCCCAGGCCATGATCTCCAAAACGTGCCAGCAGGTCAGTGCCGTAGCGTGTGCTCTATCTTTGCTGAGGACTCAGCTGCGACCGTGGTCACTGGGTTTGATGAACATGTCAGACTTTTCCTCACATCTTCTGGTAAATTGATGTATTCTTTTGATGATTACTCAGTCTGTCTTATAAACTTATGATTAATTTCGAAATATCACTGGTGTTTACACAGCTTCTCTCATAGTCATCATTACGGCCGAGATACCGACGGGTAGCCGGCCGTCCTCTGACATTGCTCGAACCGCGTGCGCGCCACAGGTGTACCGGTTCGCCCAGGAGGAGGCGTCCAACCTGCCGGCCGAGGAACACGTCAAAGACGCCACGCCGCCGCGCAAAAAGAAGAAGAAGCTCCGTCTCTGGTCAGTGCACTGCCGCAAGATCCAGCTGAAGAAGGACTCTTCGAGCAACCACGTGTACAACTACACACCGTGCAACCACCCGGGCCAGCCGTGCGACGAGACGTGCTCGTGCGTGGGCGCGCAGAACTTCTGCGAAAAGTTCTGCCAGTGCTCCCTCGACTGTGAGTGTGTCGTGGCACGCCGGTAACCGGCGTGCGACGGCGGACGGCGGCGGCGACGGCTGGGAAAGATAAGAGGGATTGGGACGCCGACAGAGGCACACAGTCGGTTGTTACTGCATCATGGAAATTGGGTGCAGGTTAAATCGCTTTGGAGATCAGAGTGTTAAGGGGATTGACGAAATTGTCACTTTCCATTTGGAATTACTTGCTTTGGAGGATGTGAGACACGCCGTTCCCGCATTGATTTTAGCGGTTAACCCATTTTAAGGGGAAGCGTGTTTCACTATTTGGCATGCTTGCCATCAGCGGTTTAATATTTATTCAGTAAGGGATTCGTTCACTTGTGCACACGTTTACTTGATCTGCAGCAGCTCGATCTGCTTTGGTGCCATCTCGCAAACCAGGAGCTGCGCCGACTCCGGACTGCAATGTCTCGGTCAGCTGCATGCATCAACTCCTGTTTCCTACCGCTTCCTTGTTTCCTGGCAGTTTACACACAAGTTCTGCAAATTCTTTTGATAACGTCCCGAACCATTATGTATGAAACTAGCTATGGTTCTCTGGCATTGTACCGATATAACCACCAGCGACTGATGTCCCAGTGAGCCGCTGAACAGTGTGACCTATACATCGTTCACGCCCTCCGGTTCTTTGACATACACCCGGGGACGGTGTTGCAGGCCAGAACCGGTTCCCGGGCTGCCGGTGTAAGGCGCAGTGTAACACCAAGCAGTGTCCGTGTTTCCTGGCGGTGCGCGAGTGTGACCCGGACCTGTGCCGCAGCTGTGGAGCCCACCACCTGCAGGTGAGAGAACCAGTACCGTACAGGCGGCCGGTCGGCGCTGGACAGGCGGCATGGAGCGGGCTCATACTCTATATGGTACTCAAATATGTTACTCGGTATGGCGAGGGTGTGTTCGTCTGTTCGACTACGAACTCAGATTGTGGATGTGAATGCCAAAAAAGCACGGATTGGAACTTAAGGGTCATGCTTGAATAATGCACTGGTTTAGATTATACGTGGCGGCTGGCTCAAGATGTTGTTACGGTTGATTTAGGACGCAGGATCGCACCCAGTGGTTTGTGAAAGCTTAAAAATCTGGTCTGGCATCAGTGAAGCCAGTCCCACAGTTCCCTTTCTGAGCTACTTTACGGCTCGCCATGGCTGTTTCAACTGATGCGATGTTCTGACGCCCTCTCCCCCGCCCGTCCGTCCTTCCAGGTGGACAAGATCCAGTGCAAGAACGTCTCAGTGCAGCGCGGCCTGCACAAACACCTGCTGATGGCACCCTCTGACGTGGCCGGTTGGGGCATCTTCCTGGAGGATTCGGCGCAGAAGAACGAGTTCATATCAGAGTACTGCGGCGAGGTGATCACCCAGGACGAGGCTGACCGGCGCGGCAAGGTCTACGACAAGTACATGTGCTCGTTCCTCTTCAACCTCAACAACGGTGAGTGAAGAGTCTGTCGGCGGAGGGGCTTTGACCGTATTGATCAGCGAATGCGATGGTTATCCTAGTAAAAGTGTGACGGTTGTAAAACATACGTATACATCCTCTATATTTTTATCGGAAATACCTGTTTACCAAGAACTGGCTCATCTTGCCTTCGGAGGTTTGAAACTGTGAAATTGATATTTGTGTTACAATTCCTATTCGTCCTTTTGTGACCAGTGGGCTACGAATCCATCCCCAATAACGTCCTAACATTTCCGTGGCCCAATTCTGTGGAGCTAATTATCACCGATTTTATCTGGGTTCCTCTTCGTCGGCAGACTTTGTCGTGGACGCCACGCGCAAGGGCAACAAGATCCGATTCGCCAACCACTCCATCAACCCCAACTGCTACGCCAAGGTGATGATGGTCAACGGCGACCACCGGATCGGCATCTTCGCCAAGCGACCCATCCAGCCCGGCGACGAGCTGTTCTTCGACTACCGGTGAGTGGAGAGCTTGGGTGGCAGTTGAAACGGCGGGCGTTGAATATGTGTATGTTTATTTTGGTCGGTGGTCCGAGCACAGCTGGCCAGTAATTATCCGTTGCGCATGTGGGACGGATCCGCACTCCGCAATGTGCAGTTTTAGTTCTGGGCGCCAAATGGATCTGAAACGAGTGAAGAGCAAAGCAAGCTGTTAGCCTTGATAACGCTTGTAAAGTGATGGAATTTAGACTGCGCCAGCCGAATTCAGCATCAACGAGAGTCGAGAAACTCGTTACGATCGTGAGGCAGGCTTGATGTTTGTCGTCTCACTCTCATTGGTGCTTTTTTAGCCGGATCGGCGTAGCTTCTTTGAATTTTAATCATGCGTGCACAATTTCCAGTTGCACATAAACCACAACGTCCCATCACGCTTACGGTCGAATTTCGCTCGCCTGTACCTCCCTGGCACACCATTCTTTGACCCCCTGTCTCTGCCCCGCCCTTCCGCCAGATACGGACCCACCGAGCAGCTGAAGTTTGTCGGCATCGAGCGAGAGATGGAGTTCCTGTGATGGCACGCCCACTACTAGACCTCCATAGCCGGGCCACGTGACACCTGGCGCCGTGCGAACACCCGCGCCAAGTGTAACTGAGTCAATGTGGCAGCCCGTGGGACACCCGAGCGCCGCCACGTGCCGCGCTGGGTATCTAAGCGATTTCGTCAATGTTCAACAATAGGATCTCGATCATTCAATCAAATGCATCAGAACGGGGATTTCTGCGAAGGCTTCATGTGCGAGAGTCAGTTAATGTGAACTGAACTGGATGAGTCGTGCAAGTCCAATGACGGCCGATTGTCGTTCATTCACCTTAGCCCAGCGGAGGGCTTTGCTGCAGGAGCAAGGTGTGGGTGTGATAGACTGAAATGACAGGCGCGACATTCAGATGTGTCGCCTTTTAGTGACTGAAATACCAATGTTGTGATGTCGCGGTTCAGGCAGGCGTTCAATGCTCACGATTGCGCCGTAGACTGTCGAACACTAACAGTGTCCTCGGTGACATATTCGAGCTCGATCGTGTTGGGAGTATCAACTCTAACGGGACAGGAGCCTGGCCATCTACGGCATCGGTACGCTGCACCGCACGGGTGCCGCTCCTAGTGTGAGGAGAGTTTGTTGCGCTGGGTGTGTTGTGGATCACCTCCGGCCAACGGAGTTTGGTTTCTGGAGAGACTAAAACACTGGAGGAACGCGACGATTCCCCTGGGGGATCGGGGATGCACTATAGGTGTTAGGATAATGAGAAGAGCAGATTCGAGTCCACGAGGCAGACCTGCGAGCCCGCTGAGCAGATTCGTGAGCGGATTTTAGCGACTGTATCGAGGTGATTCATCTAGGAATACCCACAGGTTGGGTTGAACCAGAGTGGTTGTAAGCAAGGCCAAGGCAGATTTGTGTAGGAAGCACCGGTATATTGCTCATACCAGTTTTCGCCGACGCAGTCATATCGAGGCATTAACGACATGTGTTCGATAATGTGAATACTCTCATTGGATAGAAGTTTCATACTGGTCGGATTCAGGCGATTCGGGCATCATCGCACACTTCATACCGAATTTTGCTCAATCAGACACTGTTTTACTTGCCAACCCGCCGCTTCAGTACCGACGCTGAACAACCATGGAACCATTTTCGCAGTTCAATATAACAGCTGATGTACACCAATAGACAATTGTTTCAATGTGGGCTGCTGTTGGTGCCAATTTGCTGTTGAATGGACCAGAGGCGAGCAAATCCCCATAGGCGCAAATAGCTGTTACGGATTTGCCACCAAGGACCTGGGCCAGGACATTGAAACTGATGTGATTATATGTTTCACGCTTGAAGCAGAAACAATGCGCGATCTGTATGCTAAGTGATAAGTGACCCGGTGAATCAGACGACTACCATTGTGTGCTGATCGCGTAGTCCGTCGCATTTAGTTTGACTGATATCCACTAGACAGCAGCATCGCGTGAAACACGTTCAAATATGACGATGGTATATTTAATGACGTCAAGTGATGATCATCGCACAAAAAAGGACTTCTCGCTGTCTCTCCCCAGATGATCGGTACAACTTCCCCGAGCGTGTTGGTACCTACTGAGTTTTATCTGAGACGACCGCACTACCGAGAAGCCAACACTTCACCTCTTAGTAATCAGGCCATCATTGCTGATCAAACAGGAATCTCCTGTTCCTGCTTCCACGTAACGATATCAGCACAGTAAACCGAGAAGTTCTTCACTTCATTTCCCGACGTGCCCTGGTGAAAGCCGCCGCCGTTCTCGCCATCATCAATGACAAAGAATCACACCACCTTCTTGCCGGGAGGACACGGCATCCCGAGAACTGGGGTGACCACGCCGCGGCGCGCCAGCCGTCAGCGGGCGTCGAGCACCACCAGTCGGCTGGTGCGCTTCTTGTAGAGGATGCGGTAGCCGCACTCGCGGCACCGGATGGGGTCGCGGGCGCGGATCTCGTTCTCCTCGTTGCAGTCGCCGCAGATGTAGATGGTGACGCGCGCCTGCGTTTGCTCCTTTTGGTCCATGTCGGCTGCTGTTACTGGCTGCTGCTACTGGCTGTCGGACACAGAGTGAAACCGGTGAGCCAACAAACTATCGATTGTCGCCAAACTAGGTGGAACATGCATACTGAAAAGGTAATATGATTAACCCAATCTAAGATGTGGACCCTCGTGTGTCATGTTATTATTGGTTATTATTGGTTCGTCCAAAAAAGAATATGTATGTCAAAGTAGGTAATACGACCCCCACAAATAGCCGCAAGGTAACACTACCGCCACAAACCTACCACACATGATGTCAGGCCGCAGGCGCGTAACCACGAGTTTGAATTTACTGGGGACCACATAGAGGGCTGCTAAGATCGAATATTATATTTTAGATGTGGGGCAAAATACGTAGGGTGGGTGGAAAATTGTTACGAATAAAATCCGGGCTCCTCACAAAAGTCGGACGAATTTATAACTAATATATTTTAGGGTGTGTCGGTGTTACAAAAATAAATTAAGTATCACTTGAAAGCCTAGTTAAAAATACCTATTTTGTTTCAGGGGATTTTGACCGTCGGCGATCGCCTTACTGAGCCGCGCCGGACCTGTTCGAGATGACACCCGTTTCGCTTGATGCACAGTTAAGCCCCGTGCAGCACGGCCTCTGTTGCAGCATGGCACACGGAAGATGGCAGGCTGCGTACCGCCGACCTCATTGCACCCTTCAGGTCTTTGGGACTTCTTGGGTGGTTTCGGTACACCTGGGACTTGAGGTGGTCCTACAGGAAAAAGTCCGGTGGGGCAAGTCCGGGGAGCTCGCTGGTCACGGATGTGTCTCAAACCTCGAAGTCACACGCTGCCCGGAGCGCTCCTGCAGCCACTCCCGGTCTTCTTTGGCGGTATTGGCCGTGGAAACGTCTAGCTGGAACTATTGGCATTTGAGTGGTTCAGGATCGCTGCCCATTGTGGTCTGCAGGACACTCCAAAATTTGTCAGGGTCATCCGGTATCGCTGACCGTTGACAGCTGGGTAGCGCATCTCTCACACGAGCGACGTTCACCGGGCTTCTTTGATTGGGTTTGCGGCCGCCGCTATGTTCTTTGAACCCGCAGTTAACATTTCCTCGAGCCAGAAACTTTCAACCATGTGGAAAATAGCATTTCAAGATGGTGCTCACTTTGCAAAAAAAAAGATTGCGGAAGTTCCATTGTGTTGAAACGACTGACTTATTCTGAAAGTAGATTTTCTTTGAGTTTGCTATTGCGTCTTAGACCACTGTCTCATTTTTTAAACTCAACAAGTATGGTAACATATAAATCTCCTAAAAATTTGCTTTCTTTTCATGTGCATTTGTTTTGTTTAAATATTGCTTCCAGTCCACTATCCCGCAAAAGAAATTGGTCCGACTTTTGTGATAATCCCGGTATATCCAAAAAATATATTAAATCGATCTGTCGGTTAACTTCGGTTCCTTTGTATTTTAGGTGTTATACAGGGAACTTGTGTTGTTGGCAAACACAAAGTCTAAATATGAACGTAAAAATGTATGTATTGTCGAAAGACATTCTTAAAATGTCTTCCGTTGCCTACATTTCACTCTTCACGTCGATCTAGAAACAATATTTGGCTAGGCAAATTGAGGAGGCCGTCGGTTTTACTGGGGACGGTCCCCAGTAACCCAAAAGTTACTGGGGACCGGTCCCCAGTGTCCCCAGTGGTGGTTACGCGCCTGTGTCAGGGGCAATGCTTGTACTTCATCGTATCATAAGTCACCTTTTAAAATAACTGCAACGACAGTGGAATCCGCTTAATAAATCGACCATGGTGACAAGGTGTTTTGAATTTATTAAGCAGTGCCTTTATCAAAGTCAGCTGTTTTCATTAACCCTCGCCCTGGCAGGGCATTTTTCATAACACGGCCTGGCAGGGGGGGGGGGGGCTCGATGCGACCCCCCCCCCCTCGCGATTGGCTCCTATGGCACCTAGAAAAACCAAATTTGGTAGGTAGGTGGGCCCCCTGGAGTTCTCGCCCCTGTGCAAATTTGGTTGCTCTAGGTCAATATTGAAGGGGGTTTTGGGGGGTATAAATGTAAAAATTTCGCTAAAAACAGGTCAAAAGTTTTTCGCTTATAACTTTTGATCTAATTAAGATAGAGCAAAAAGAAAAGCACCAGTGAACTCAGCACGTCAAGGCGCGTCGAATAATATACTTTTTAGCTTGCTTAAGTGTACTTAAAGTTTTTCTTAAATTTTAAGTAAACTTAAATTAATAAATTAAGTTCAAGTTAACCCGCGCCGGGCCGGGGGAGGGGGTGTTTGAACACCCCCCTTGCGGTTTTTCGCAGATATCTCAAAAACGGCGGCGCGGAGCGCCGCCGTTTTTGGCACACCTGTTTGTGCATCTTTTCCGCACATGTTGTGAAAATTTCAGACCCAGGTCACCTTAGGTCAGGTCACCAGGTCACGCCAAGTGACCTCACCTCAGAAAAAATTAGAATGCTCGTCATAGCTACACCGACTGAACGATTGCCTTGAAACTTTCAACGATTGATAAGAGCAACACTATCTATAAAATGTATATCTCGGAATTTTGATATCGGTGACCTAAGGTCAGGTCAATTTTGCGGCCTCTCCATTATAAGTCAATGGGAGAAAATTGAAAAGCGCCTGTTTTGCACGAACGCTATTCTAGACACTCTCAAACATCGAGATGTAGGTAAAATAGACACACTGAACCAGAAAATGGCAACTGTGACCCCTCGTTATGTCCCCGAGGTCATCTCAGGTCACGAACAGAATCTAACAGTTTTTCGATGATAACTTCTGATAGAGGCGTGCTAGAGCGCTGAAAACGCCTTAGATGTGTTCGGCTCGACGTTGCGGATCGACTGATATGCAACATGACCTTTTCCGGTCAGGTCATGACCTTGACCTGAGGTCAAATTTTCAAGTTGACCTTTCAAGGTCAAATTATAGTTCATTCGACGCGTCTCGACGAGAGAAACACGATGCTGGCAAAAGTAATGTGATAGCTTTTTTGAGTCAAAAGTTATTGCCGAAAAAACGTTTTTCGTAAAAACGGCTATTTTTGGAGTTTTCGACCTCTGGAGGCTAAACCGTTGACCTGAGGTCAAATCTGAGAACATTATTCAGAAAGGTCTGTAAAAGGGCTATCGAATGCGCTTTTTTGCGGCGCTGTAGCTCTGTCGGTTCCCGAGATAGCCGTTGGCAGTTTCCAAAATGTTGAAATAGTCAACATTTTACCTTTGGTGACCTCTGGTGACCTGACCTTTGACCTGACCCAAAAAATGACTGAAGTGTTTTCGTCCTTATTTTTGACGTTCTTTCGATTGCCGCTTACCGCGTGTCGCTACGTGGCCCAGGAGCCGAGTTAGAAGGGGGGGTGTTCAAACACCCCCCCGCGGCCCGGCGCGGAATTTCAGAGCACCGGCCCGGCGCGGGTTAACCAAATTGCATCATATCGCATATCATTCGATTCGGCTGATCACCAGGAACACAATGATACCATTTTTTAAGCTCTAGCGTCATTATGTGCCAAGTTATTGGCAAAAACGTCATTTGACCTCAGTTGACCTCATTTGACCTGACCCATGGATAAGTACACCAAACAAAGAAGCACCAAGTGACCTGCTGTTAAGTACCGTGGTTTCAAAGCACAAAAGTGATAGAACGAAGCGGATATCTCCAGTATTTTCCGAATTTAGTATTTTCCCATAGGCTTAACATTACGACGTAATGACCTCTAACTGACCTCAGGTCAGTGACCTCAAAAAAGCCGGAATATATGTTATACAACTCGAAGAACTTAGCACATCCTGAAAGTTTGAAGGAAATCAGTCAAAAAATGTGAGTTGGACAGGTGCAAAAAGAAAATTGAAATTTGACCATGACCTTGTACTGGTTTTTCTGACCTGGTGACCTGACCCAAGGTCACCCGGACCTGAAATTTTCAGGTCATATGTAAAAAGGTTGCCCCATAGGCTGTGCCAAATTTGGCGGCGCTGCGCGCCGCCGTTTTTACGCTATCTTCGAAAAACCTTAGGGGGGGGTCGCATCGACCCCCCCCCCTGCCAGGGCGAGGGTTAAAAAGCATGTACTGCAGCTGCACGTTCCGTTCCTGTGAAATATAAGCATATAGGCTAGCATTCCTAATTGCCTTACTTATTCCAATGAAAGTGACATGAGTCTCCACCACAGGCTCAGCTTTTATGTGATGGACAGTGGCTCTGTCTTTTTCCCATTCACAAGACCAAAGCGACAATTTCTTAGTTTTGAAGTATCACTTTTTGCATACCTAACATATTTTTCTACCTATTTAAAGAAAAATCTCTCCGTCATGGGCCTTTTTTCAACCATAATGATACATTTGAAGTCAAAAGTGTACCCAATGGAATAAAAAAAATTGATTCCATGCCCATATTTGGTCATGGCTCCTCCCACCAGAATCAATTTTTTGATGCCTCCATATTTTGATTCCAGGGTCCTGTTTCACCGGTGATAGCAGCTTTATAGCAGCACGCTGCTATTACACGTGTCAAATTGGGTTTCCATGGAGACGTCAACAAGCCTATTCCTCCAGGCTCCAACACTACCAGAAGTGTGATGTCAGCTCGCAAAATGGAATAGCAGCATGCTGCTATCACCAGTGAAACAGGGCCCAGAAGTCTAGTTTGGGCGGTACACATGGAGGTCCCCGCTTCAAAATTAGTTGATCCCTATAATATAGACATCATTCTATAGAGAAACTCATGTTTAGTAAGAATAATGTGGTTTCCAGTTATCTGATCGATAATTTTAAGACCAAAAGCTAACTAATCGTATTCTTACCACGATCTCGGTGGAGCCGCACCGGCACGACGGTCTGTTGTCAACATGTCAATTGTTGTTAAATACCATTACGCAGAAATGTAGTATCTTCATAAAACCCAACACACTAGGGGAACTGTGGGAAACCGGGGTTTTGGGTGGGGGGGGGGGGGGTACTATTTTTATGAAAAAGTGATAGACATACACAAATAATTTTGGATTTACGGTTCTGTATTTTTAATATTTAATTCTTTTTTGGTAAAGCGCCTCACAAGATGCGCCAGATCTGTCGACGAATGATAGCGACTTTTCTGAAAAAGTCTTCAGAAATGTTTCGTTCGTAAATATTTTCGTTCGTGCATTTTCTTTATTTTCGTTTTTTGGTCCGTGCATTTTTTTGTCTGTACATATTTTCATTTTCGTCCAACATTTCTTCACCTGTACTGTACATGTTTTCGTCTGTGGCCAACTCGTGGCGAAGCAGTGCAGTGCCGAAGGCAATGCCTTAGGAGAGATTACAGGCAATAGTAAATCAAATATTTTTAGGTTAAATGGTTATGTATCTGGCTTCAGGCCGAAGGCCTGAAGCCTGATGCATGACCACTTAACCTGAAAATATTTGATTTACTATTGCCTGCAATCTATTCCTGCGAGTAACTATTTCCTTATCCGGTAGGCAAAAATCAGTAGGTTAGGTTAGGTTAGGTTAGGTTAGGTTAGGTTAGGATTCCCGGTAGGCAAGAATCAGTAGGTTAGGTTAGGTTAGGTTAGGTTAGGCTAGGTTTCTTAATGCCTGGTAGGCAAAAATCAGTAGGTTAGGTTAGGTTTCTTAAGCTCGGTAGGCAAAAATCAGTAGGTTAGGTTAGGTTAGGTTAGGTTAGGTTAGGTTAGGTTAGGTTAGGTTAGGTTAGGTTAGGATTCCCGGTAGGCAAGAATCAGTAGGTTAGGTTAGGTTAGGTTAGGTTAGGTTTCTTTATGCCTGGTAGGCAAAATCAGTAGGTTAGGTTAGGTTTCTTTAAGCTCGGTAGGCAAAAATCAGTAGGTTAGGTTAGGTTAAGTTAGGTTAGGTTAGGTTAGGACACCTCTTTGGATTTCATCGAGTAATAATCGCTTTTCTCAAATTTAAAGTTGTCCGCGCTTTAGACATAACCATTTGAGAACCTTGGTATTGTTTGTCATTTCTGGCTGCGATAAAAAATTGTGCACGCGAAACGCATCTGATATTTTTGCAGCCTTGATTGTTTATAAATTGTGTTCATCCGCCGTAACCAGCATGGCGTCAGCGTCGGTTGCGAGGGGTGAGGTATGTGGTGTTTTGGGGTCAATTTTGCCAGCTTTAAATGGTAAGCTGTTGCATTTTACTGGCAGGGAATGTTAGATAGTTGGATTATAGCATGTTGTGATACTAATTGGATTCATATAATTAAAACGAAAACGCTTGGGGACCTCCGTGTTTCCGACCCTAGTTTGCCAAACTGATACCGGATAAGTCACTTACACTACGGACTTTGAAACTCCCAAGTAGCTTTATTAAGCGGAGTGCGTGGATTTATTACGCGAATTTATCAACCATGGGTGTCTATGGAGAAAATCTTTGAACAGCTCAAGCATCACAACAAGCGGTTGGATTTATTATCAGAGGATTTATTAAGCGAATTCTACTGTAATCGCAGGCTTCTAGAGCGAGCCTCAGCTAGAAACACCCGCAAAGGTACCTACCTACCTTGTTGGAAAATTACACCTTCGATAAATTATATTCTTGTAAGAGAACGTAGACTGTGTAGGCACGAAAAAAACGGAAAGCAATCAATAATCACCTATCTTCTCCACAATTCAAGCAAAATCCGTCGTATCACGTAGGTATCCCCTATAATATAAAACATGAAATGCATGAAATCGAAATCGAAAAACACGCACGCCTGAAAAAGGAGACAAACTCAGCGCAGTCGGTAAATAAATAATGGACAGCACTACTTTACTGCTACTTTTGAACATAAACAGTAACCAAAGATCGGCTGTTTATCATGTGCTAAAAATGCAATCAACAATTTTTTCATTGGCTATTTAATCAGCAAAGTTAAGATTGGTGATCTAGCAGGACATTTACTCATCGAAAAAGATCAAACAAGTGAGTTTATCCTTGGTAAAAATTGAGTCATTCGGTTATCCGTGATGTAGACGAGAGCCAGGCTGAGGAGCTTGAAAATTCATCATCTTAAATCTTGGCGAACAGTCTCAAGTGAGTTTAAAAATGATTAAATCATCTGTTGAAGTTATCTATCGCCATGGAGCTTGCCACAAGAAACTTCGTTGTCTGCTGCGCCTGGAACTGTCGCATGAGCGCCACTTCCAAGGAAAGCAGTAATTTAATGAAGAAGATTTTTTACAAAATAAATTACGTCACTGGCTAAGTTCGTAATTGTTTTGTTTTTGGTTTTTTCTTTCAAATAAATTTATGTATCCTATTGGATTAAAATTAAATAAAAGTGTTCCTTTGTTTTCAGAAAGATCTCAGCTAAAATGGCGTGTTTCTTTTGAAAAATCACTTCATACACCCAATCAACGAGTTATCATTGGTGAAGGTTGATTACGCGGAAAACTCTTGTTTATCATCACTTGCGCTTAGCATATGTGTTTCTCGTGAGTGCCGTCAATGCACAACACACATCAATTGATTTCAATTTTATGGCACAATGAAAATAATTAAAACTGGTATTTGTTAATTTGAGAGTTGGATTGGTTCAGCTAGTGTTGTATGCATATATGGGCTTCCGGGGCTGCAGATCAGGTTATTGGAGACGGATTATACACTACTCTTTGGCATCTCGGTCTTCTAATGGTGAGTACGTTGATTATTATTACGTAACGGTTTTGAACTAGGCTTAAGTGTGACAAGATTGCAAAAATTGTATGTATTTTTCATTTGTGAGGCTTTGTGGTCATATGCATTCATCAGACTTCTTGTTCTTACCTTACCTAGCCTTACCTTACCTTAGTTGGTCATCGGGTTATAAGGCCAGGCCACTCGGCCTATGGGTCCCGCTCGTATCGAGTGAAAGGCATAATCGGAGAGGCTATGGTCCTTAGTACAGGGTAGGGATGTCGAACATCACGCTCGACCAGTGCCAGTCCAGCCGCGCCTTGAAAGACGACAGCGACTCAGCAGCGACGACGTCTGTTGGCAGGGCGTTCCAATCGTTGATGATTCTTGTTTTGGATGTTGTCTGGCATCAATTCACCTTGAATTTGCTCCAGTAGGAGGTAGGTAAATATCATTAATTCATATTGTAATTGGAAATATATATCCAAATATATATCCAAAACTAGATGCCGGCAGCGCTCGTGCGTTGCCTTGGGCCAGAATTGGAGGATCCATAGCCCAATGAAATGTGCATTATTTTGGAGGCCTTGCCTGGGACTACCATTGAACCGATTTTGAGGTTGATAGCTTAAAATTTCTTTGAGCCAGAGGACCTCACGTCAAAACGGTTTTTCGACCCCAGCACGTGCAACCTGCACCCCTCGCAGACGGTGACCCCCCTGGAAACTGGTTCAAGGTGTTACCGATGTGTCCCGCCAGTATGGCTTTGCCCGTGACCTCGGGTTGACCTGTAGCCTTGACAAAAAATTCGTGTCACCGAAACTTTGAAGCGGAATAGCATGTGCCACGAAGCACCGAGCGAACCGAGGCCAGCACCAAAAGTTTACCTCACCGGAGACGAATCAAACGGTCCCACTTTCGTCCCGATCGGTCCACCCATTTTGACTCCAGGTCCAAAAAAGCTTGGACAAACTCACTCACATACTCACTGACAAACATGTTCAGCCGAACTTTTTTCAGCGACCCACCAATGGGAATTTCCGGATGCAAAAGCATGCTATCGCATGGTTTTGATCCTCCAATTCTGGATAATGCACATTTCATTGGGCTATGGATCCTCCAATTCTGGCCCAAGGCAACGCACGAGCGCTGCCGGCATCTAGTCCAGAATTGGAGGATCAAAAGCATATGCGATAGCATGCTTTTGCATCCGGAAATTCCCATTGGTGGGTCCCATGTTGAATAGTTGTTAATAGGTGTTTGAAAGTGTTCAGAATGGTGTCCGTCAAAAAATAACGCATATTAATTTCCTTCCATTGTTTCTGATTTTAAATGTCTGACTTTCGTCCCCGTCTTGAGTTGAGATGTTCGTTTGTCTGGCCGCTATGTCTGCCTCGAGTGGTGGAGTAGTTACAACTGTCGCCTATCACCCGGGCAACCCGAGATCATTTCCCGCTGACCACAGGAGCTTTCGATAAGGTATGAAGCGTACGGCGCAACGCCACCAACACCCAGGGTCTTTCTAAGGACCAAATATAACAACTGACGATGGCCGGAGAAGCAACTGGCCGAAACGTTGTGAAACTAACATCTCGACTCAAGACGGGGAAGAAAGTCCGACAACTAACATCAGTGATACTAATACCTCGTCTCAAGCATTCCGAAGAATTATCCCATGGACTTATAATGGGGAGGTGGTAAAATTGACCTGACCTTAGATCACCGGTATCGAAGTTTTGAGATATACCTACATTTTGTACAAACTGTTGGCCTTATCAATCGGTGAAATTTTCAAAGCAATCAGCTACTCGGTGTAGGTAGGTATGACAGACATTGGAACTTTTAGGTGAAGTCACTGAAAGTGACCTGGTGACTTGACCTTGAATGACCCAGGTCTAAAATTTTCACAACTTGTGCGAAAACAATGAATACGCCGTTTTTTATGTAGATATCCACAAGAAAACCGCAGGGGATGTTCAAACACCTCTGGCCCGGCGCGGGTTATGTCGACGACTGCGCCGTCCCGACCGACGTCGGACAGCCAATCTCACACAGACTCACAATCTCTCGGTCAGTCTCGGTCAGTTACAGCTACAGTCGGGAGTGAACCGCTATCACCCCGCCCCCCGGCCTGTTTCGTATTCAGCATTCAAGAAAGTACCTAAATTGACGGCTCAGAATTGAACTCTGTTTTTCCGTGACCCGCCTTAATACTCTACAAAACTTCATCATATGTGGGTAATATCCCTGTTCTTTATGAACACCCTGGCAACTAAAATACAGCGAAAAATACATAATTTGATCTTTGGACAAACTTTTGGCATTTGCCCACCCAGTGAAAATTCGTTATTCGAGGCCCTGATACAGGGTGTCCCAAAATTAATGTCACACCCTACCACAGCCTTCATTTGCCTTCTACGGCGCAGTTTCAATATAATTTCGCCGGTACTGGCTCCCAAACCATATTGGTTACATTCTAGTCACATGACCTTCAAATTTGTGTGGCCTTGACCGGTCAGGGGGTGAACAAGTCTTTTCCGTGGCAGTACCCGGCGCGCGTGTACCAGGTGTCCGCAGAGCAAATCGACCCGCAGCCGGGCAATCGGCATAGTTGCCGGCGGCATGACCCACGGCCAGGTCGCCGAGTCACTGGGAATGGGTCTTCGCACGACAGGGGCGGATCCAGAAAATCTCAAAGGGAGGGGCCATTAGAAACCAGGAGGCCCCCCCCCCCATAATCCCACCTGTTGGAGGCCCCATCTTCCCACTTGTTGCCCCCCCCCCCCCAAAAAAAAACTGCGTCTATTGAGCTTATCTAGCTGTTCAGGCAACATCTCAACATCTGTGCAGGCTTGGAGGCCCTCTGTGCAGGTTAGGAGGCCCTGTAAAAGTGGTCATCTCTGTGAGTATAAGAGACCTCCAAGTTATGAAAAGCTTTACCAATCTTCTAACAAAGAAGTCTTCTCAGCTAGTCTTCTAAGAAATAACTAAGTGGGTAGGTTAAAAAAAACTCATCGGATTTCGGCCACTTTATTTTCAGGAGGCCCCCTTTTCAGCTTTTTAACTTTTTAACTTTTTATTTTATTTTTGAAAAAAAATCGGCCAAGGGGGGGGGGGGCCATGGCCCCCATGGCCCCCCCTTGTATCCGCGCCTGTCGCACGATTTGGCGCTGGTTGCTACGCGACAGAGACGTATAGACGCTTGAGGGCAAGCCAGGTCGCGGCAGGAAGACTTCCGTCAGCCGGGTGGTGGCGCAAATCGTCATCGCGAAGCGCGGTGCTAAAGGCGGGCTAATCCACAAGGAAACTGGCAAGAAGGCTGACTGCCAGTGCCAACGGTCATCCAGTATCCAAGTCAACAATCCATCGATACCTGAGGTTGTCTCTAAATCTGAAGCCCACCAAGCCACGTTTCCAGCCGAAAACTTCTGCAGTTCTCAGTTCATGATATCATGTAATAGGGACACACAAACCAATCGGTGCACACATCAGTATACAGTAGGTATACACACACAAACATACACAGACATACAAACACATATAATTGACCTTGACCTAACGTGACCTGCAATGACCACAGCCAGCAAAAACCTAGTCGGATGGTGTGTCAGAGCTGTTCGCTGGGGCTGGCTTGGCACCACAATACGGCAGCGTCATCGGTATGATGGGCACCGCACGTGATATTTCAACGTGACCCCAAACAACATTTTTTTAGTTTGATCTGACCTGGAAGGTCAATGACTGACATAATGATGTAAAATTGGGTACCACTGGATTCGTCTCTTCCCAAAGAATCTGTTGGTCTTTACCGCGAAGCCTTATCTCCAGCAGGAACGAAATGGCGCGGGGGTGGCAACCTCTCCCCCCTCCCCATGTGCGTTCTAGGATGGGAAAATTGCATGTATAATGTATATTGTATCGTAAGCAATGTTTAGCTGAAGTAATCGACAGAGAGCTAAGCTGGTACCTTATGTCAGTTTTTGATGACGAGAACATGCTCATTATCAGTGTGCAAGTGCTGCGGTTCAGGCTGACCGGCTGACGTGGATTTCACGCTTCCACGTCATCACTTTACGGCAGCGTCCAAGTATGAACTCCGTGACCCGTGTACGGCCGAGCGGGCCGAGCGGCAAGGCTCAAGGTCCGATAGCGCTGTCTGAGTCGAAGCCAGCGCGCCCTACCGGCGCCTGTCGCGACAGGCATGTGGGAGAAAACGGCGCGGGGAAGCCCAGCCGCGCGCGCCGGCGCGCGATCCCAGCTGATTCGAATTCACTTGTGCGGCTTGTCGCGAGGAATTGGCGCGAACGGCTGGCAGTTGTTCGGATACCCCGGAACTGTGCACATCGGTGGTAAGCGTTCCGTGACGTTTTATTGTGAGAGAAGTTAGTAGCCATGGTGTTTTCTGTACACTAATCTCATTTGTAATGCAAGCTTTTGTTCATCCTCAGAGAAAGTGTGTGTTGACTGGTGTGTGCCTTTTGCCTTTTCTTGGTGCCATATTTTGCAGGAGACTGTGCTTGTAGAATATTTAATTTGGGGCAGGATTTTCACCTATTGTTATTGAAATTTGAATCGATCAGCTCACCTCGTCAACTCACCTGGTAGGTTTCCTGCCTTAGCTGTAGGAACTGGACAGGCAGATCAAGAGGCATGGAAGTGAAAAGGGGAGAAAGAGCAAACGCGCGAGCAAGACAAGCCAAAACGCAAAAGCAGTTGGTAATAAGGTCCATCTGTGTTTTTTATTGTTTTTTTTGGGGGGGGGCAATGTTTCCACCATTTCTTGACATATTCCTTGTTGTTTTGGTCTCTAATCTGGTAATTTTTCGAGGCGGTATCCTGATTCCTACCAATGCTATTCGTAACTTCTCTCTTCCCTTGCACTGGAGTATTGGTCGTGACAGGTCATTGTGACACTCCTTTGAAAGTTCCCCAACCAAGTTTCAAAGCAAAAGAAGTGCATCTTAAAATGCATAAATAACCTTCCAGGCGGTGGGGGGGGGGGGCATTTTTTGCATCCCCCCCTTTAGTTTTTTCGATATATCTCGAGAACCGCTGCGCCGATCGTCACCAAACTTCCAGTACCCTCCCGGGAGTAGCTAGCGCACATAGTGACCAAAATTTTTTCCAAAGACTATGATAGGTTAGCCACTAATGACGTCAGAGTGACGTCATTTCTGCCATTTTCGACCCAAAAAAGGGTTTCGTGGGAAGAGCTGTCAGGCCTACAGCTTTAGAGATACAGAAAAAATGTTACGACATAAAAGGTGTGGAATCAAGAGGGCTACAAAACTGCTATTTCGGCTTTTTGAATTTTTTGGATTTTGACCCCCAAAAATAAAAAATAGATTTTTTGAATATAATAGCCGAAAAATCCAAAAAGTTTTTTTGAATTTCGAAAAAAAAAACCGGAATATATGTGATAATCCCTACCGCTTTCTATCTCCATACCAAATTTGAGATCGATACCTCTGTTTTTGGCCAAGTTATAGCGTAAAAACTTCAAAATTGATGACGTCAAATTTCCAAACTCAATTTTTAGCAATTCTGGACCTCGTAGCGCAAAACAAAGACCACCATTAGACTTCCCGTGACGAGCTGCATCGAATCAATACCCATTTTATGCAAAATATCAACTTTGAAATTTGACCTTTTTGACCTGACCTTGACCTGAACACCAGAAAGTGACCTAAACCGTACCTGATGGTCTTATAACCAACACCATTGAGTTGGAAATAAAAAACTGGCCATAAAGCATGCATCGCACAACCTTAGTAAAGTTGGGTTCATGTGGTGACCCTTGGTGACCTTTGGTGACCTGACCTGGTATCACCAGTGACCTCTAATAGCAACACATGTACTAGACAACTGACGCCTTATCGCTGATTTTCGACAAAATGCGTTTTACTCGGTGTTATAGCGCTTTCCCTAGAAGCCCCGTGAACGGTGAAAAAAAAATTACTTTGACCTGACCTGTAACGTCATCGGTGACCCCGAGGTCAATGAAATTCGGTTTCCTTCGACAAATTTGACAGGGCTATCGAACGCCGTTTGAATTTTCCGGATCCGTCCAGTAGTTTCGGAGATACGGGGGGGGGCAAAAAATACCCTCTCCCCCCCCCCCCCACCGCGCGGAAGGTGGCCGGGAGGCCCACCGCCTGCCGGGTTAAGAGTTGCAGCCTTTGAATATTGACAATGTAAATGTAATCCTTTAGCCACCTCTGTAACAATCGTACTTTGCAAATTTGCATTTGACACAATTAACTTCAAAAATAAATTATCTAAATTTCATTGGAATTTAATTGGAACCCCCTCATTCAGGTGTCACTGTCAACCATTAGATTCGTCCGCGAGTCCGGCCATCCCTGTTTTGCATTTAAAAAATCCTCGAAACTTTTCGATCCGCTGTGCTTTTTGTTGTAAGTGAAATGTTCACTGAAATGTTGTTTTCAGGCCTCCGTGATCGTGTCTTCTCTTTGATTGGCGGCCTGAAGATGTCTGCGGGAAAGAAGATCACCATCTGTGTGGAGGGTAACATCGGCAGTGGTAAAACCACCCTTCTGGATCATTTCGCCCAGTTTCCCGAGGTCAAAACCATCTCGGAGCCCGTCAATAAATGGAGGGATGCCGGCGGACACAATTTGCTCGTAAGTCTAACTCGTAAGTCTATTACATATTGTTTCGTTTGGCATGAGTATTATGCGCAAAGACTGAAATACGAGAATGAGGATAGGGTGGTGTTCCTGTTGTTACATAGGATGACTGAGTGGTGGTTTGTACTTTTTATGTTTGAATGGAGTATTACGGATCGACAGAGCTGGACTCCGGAGCCTACGCTAAACAAAACTTATTGTGTAGCGGACCCATACTATCCGATTACATAATTCCGGGTAACGGGAGAATTCAAAGACCGAAGTTAGTAAGCCCATCAAATTAAATAATATGATAATCAAGTGAATGCAGTGTTTAAGTACCGCGAGCCGGCCGCCTGGGATAGGTATTTGACGTCTAACATAATGTGTGACGTCTGACATTTGGCGTGTGACATTTGCCATTTGCCTGCCCAGGAGCTGATGTACTCGGACCCGGCCAGGTACAGCTGCATGTTCCAGAGTTACGTGCAGCTCACCATGATGGACAACCACACGGCGCCGGTCGAGAAGCCTATCAAAATGATGGAGCGCTCCATCCACAGCGGCAGGTGGGTGGTGCGCTGTCCGGTATCGCGCCGATATCCGGTGGTATAACACCGGTGGAGTAAAGGCCTGGCCAAGAGGCCTGGCTACACTATGCGTTTTCTGCGTGAGTTTTTTTGCGGGATCGCGGGTTTTGCGTAGAAAAATAAACGTCATTACATTTTGTGATGTTTTTTATGTTAAATTTTAGTTAATATAAGAGTTATATGAATTTTTGTAGCTAATATAAAAGCTATATTATTTATAACTTTTTTCTAGAACGCTATTACGCAAAAAAACGCAAACCCGCAAAAAAACGCACGCAGAAAACGCATAGTAGCCAGGCCGGCTACACTATGCGTTTTCTGCTTGCGTTTTTTGCGGGTTTGCGTGTTTTGCGTGATATCGTTCTAGAAAAAATAACGATATTACGGCTTTGTGATGTTTTTTATATTAAATTTTAGTTAATATCAGAATTATAGTATTTTTTGTATCCAACTAATGGAAAAGTTATATCATTTATGATTTTTTTCTAGAACGGTATTACGCAAAAAACGCTAACCTGCAAAAAACGCACGCAGAAAACGCATAGTGTAGCCAGGCCTTTACACCGGTAGACCGGCATGAACCTGGCTTATTGGCATAGTATGCAGTTCTATAGAGCCTTGGTATGCAGTATCAAATGATACAGGACCACAGTGCAACGCTGAATGCGTTGTCTTTTATTACATTTTTAACTTTTAAGCTAAACATTTTATTGTGACCTATGAGTAACGTGAAATATTTTGCCGGTCATGTGTCGGGTGTCGAATAGAGAATAGATCAATCAGCGTAGATGGCGCTTTCGTTGTGTGGAGTGCGGGTTCTAATGGCCCTTTGTTGAGTCTGAAGGAGAGCTTTGCATAATTATATTGATATCTTGTGGAGCACCATTATGCCTATTTATGCGATTTACGCTCATTAAAATATGTGATGCGAAGAAGTCCCAGCTGCGGCCACTCGCGGTGACCTGTAACCCGCCGTAAGATCTGTCAGCCAGCGCTGACGGCAGCCCTCCGTCCGCCATCCCACTTCCCAGGTACTGTTTTATCGAAAATATGCTCCACGGCTGTTCTCGTTACGAATGTTACAAATGTTACGCCCTGGCAGGTACTGTTTTATCGAGAACCTGCAGCGCGGCGATTCTCGTTACAAATGTAACGCTCTTGCAGGTACTGTTTCATCGAGAACCTGCACCGCGGCAGCTCTCGTTACAAATTTTACAAATGTTATGCCCTGGCAGGTACTGTTTCATCGAGAACCTGCACCGCGGCGGTCTGATGGCTGACGCCGAGTATGCTGTGCTGGACCAATGGTTCCAGTGGATCACGGCCAACGTGAACGTGCAGCCCGACCTGATCGGTGAGGCGGGCCGGACTCGTGGACTAGTGGGGTGGTCTGGGCCTGTGGGCGGGGGGGGGGGGGGGGGCTGAACGATTCCGGCTTATAACGAAGATGCCATTTATATATATATATATATATATATATATATATATAGAGAGAGAGAGAGAGAGAGAGAGAGAGAGAGAGAGAGAGAGAGAGAGAGAGAGAGAGAGAGAGAGAGAGAGAGAGAGAGAGAGAGAGAGAGAGAGAGAGAGAGAGAGAGAGAGAGAGAGAGAGAGAGAGAGAGAGAGAGAGAGAGAGAGAGAGAGAGAGAGAGAGAGAGAGAGAGAGAGAGAGAGAGAGAGAGAGAGAGAGAGAGAGAGAGAGAGAGAGAGAGAGAGAGAGAGAGAGAGAGAGAGAGAGAGAGAGAGAGAGAGAGAGAGAGAGAGAGAGAGAGAGAGAGAGAGAGAGAGAGAGAGAGAGAGAGAGAGAGAGAGAGAGAGAGAGAGAGAGAGAGAGAGAGAGAGAGAGAGAGAGAGAGAGAGAGAGAGAGAGAGAGAGAGAGAGAGAGAGAGAGAGAGAGAGAGAGAGAGAGAGAGAGAGAGAGAGAGAGAGAGAGAGAGAGAGAGAGAGAGAGAGAGAGAGAGAGAGAGAGAGAGAGAGAGAGAGAGAGAGAGAGAGAGAGAGAGAGAGAGAGAGAGAGAGAGAGAGAGAGAGAGAGAGAGAGAGAGAGAGAGAGAGAGAGAGAGAGAGAGAGAGAGAGAGAGAGAGAGAGAGAGAGAGAGAGAGAGAGAGAGAGAGAGAGAGAGAGAGAGAGAGAGAGAGAGAGAGAGAGAGAGAGAGAGAGAGAGAGAGAACAGACTCGTTTGTGACGTTTCGATATATGTGTATGCTTATATCTTCGTCAGAATAATAAATCGGCGTATCGTTCACACTTTTCGACAATAATGGCACACAAACACGATAAAGATGGGTACAAAAACACTTAAAACACGTAGCAAAATAATCACATCTAATTTCACTTTGTCCTTTCATTTGCAGGATCCAATATTTCTATGTGCCTCCAGCAGCTGGATCCATACTATAATTCGACAGAATAAAGAGCAGACGGCGAAAGCAATGCAGAATACCCATTAACTGGGCTTGACGGTTGTACATAACTAATAATTTGCAACACCTGAAGTGGAAGAGATGCACTTGGGTTAGACCTTCCCACCTACCCTTCCTTTCGGACATTTTCTCCTTCACTTTCCCTTAGTGTTCCCAGAAGTCCCACCCACCTCATCTCTCTAAATTTCCTACGGTCCTCTGAGTTCCCCCATGTCCTTTCCAGACCGATTATTCTAAAGTCGCCCTCTTTGTGCCCCCCTCCTGAGAAGTGGCGGTTCACGGGAATCCTGCCCTCCCTCCTACACCGTATTGATGAAAGGTGGTTCTGGGTACGCGTGTATATTGTATCGCCTGTTTGTCCTACATATACCACCTTTTCACACTTGTTGCACCAGACACCATACACCAGGTTAGATGACCTACACCCTATGGTTTTGTCATAGTGTACGGGCCCTCCCACTCCTGGTATTGAGTGGGAGGGCCCGTACACTCCCATCAAACTCCCCTCAGTACACTCCCATCAAACTCCCCTCAGGACACTGGAGGGGGAGTTTGATGCTCTGTCTGAAGCAGTGACCGCTAATGGGACTGCACAGGACATCGAGCATGCTAAGCTGTGGGTAGATAGGGACAGGCAGGCCACGAAAAGACGGATGGCGGAAGTAAAGCAGCGTAAATTCAGTAACCTAACGGAGTCATTAGAGAGGCCTGGTGTAGTAGATGCAAGGGTCACTCCCAAGGGATCAGACAAGAAGGGGCATAATTTCCAGAGGGGTGGCACACAGCCCAAGACTAAGGGAGTGGCATGGAGGAAGTCCCGAGGAAGACACTACGGCACAGGCCATGCTACGAACCCCAGCAGTTCTAACTCTCATAGAGGGGGTCAGGGGGTAGTGGGCCGGTTCGATGAGAATAGTGTCAGGAGACAGAGGGCAGCTGGTGTGGTAGATCACCCCGATGAGAGCCCCGTCCTTGGTAGTGTATCCGTGAGGGATGTCGGTGATTCAAGGGGGCGCGCTGGGGGAACAGATGAGGAAAGGGGGATGCCAGCAGTCCCTGTGGTAACTGAGACGATAGAGCATGATTCTCCAGAACCAGACACCATACCCAGACATCCAGATGGCCGTGCACGGGTAGAGGTAATCAACCTATCAGATAGGCGGCTCACTGAGTCGGAGCTCTCCTTATTGGGTAAGGGGCTATCTTTCGTACCGACGAAGCGTCAGACGATAGCACAGTTGACAGCAGAGCTGAAGGAGTGGGAAAGGTTAATGCGGTTGAAGGAATACTGGGACGGGCAGGATAAAAAGGATAGTGGCGGGGACAGAGATGGGGACTGCCAGTATAAGACATCACGATGGACCCCTCCCAAAGGCAGAGATCAGTGGTTGGATCTTTATATTGAGGAGGTGACGTCTGGTGTGATACAGGGATTGCGTAAGACGGGAAGGTTCAACTTGAGTAAAGGGGAGGAAGAGGCGCTCCTCTCTCTGATGAAGGACGACTCAATCATTATCAGACCAGCTGATAAGGGGTCGTCCTTCGTGATTATGAACAAGGAGGACTACATTGATAAATTGTCAGATGAGATGGATAAGGGAGACGGGTATGAACCAACAAAGGGTGACATGACCTCAGTGATCTCGAGGAAGGTGAGTAAGTTAGTGACACGACTAGAGGAGAAAGGATATATCGGTAAGAATGAGAAGAAGTATCTTGTCCCTCCCCGTCCGACCCCAGGTATCTTACAGGGTAACCCTAAGATTCACAAGGAGGGGGCCCCAATGAGGACAATTGTAAGTGGGAGGGGGCAGGCAACTGAGAAACTAGCGGGGTTAGCAGAGAGTCAGCTGACGGAGCATGTGGAAGCACAGGACTCGTACGTAAGGGATACCGGGGATTTCCTCAGCAAATTGCAGGAGATTGGTCAACCAGTTGAGCGTAATGGAGGGCACCGGCCTCTGATGTTCTGCATGGACGTGGCAAAATTGTACCCGAGTGTCCCGAGGCGGGAGGGGTTAGACGCATGTCGGGTGGCGTTAAATGAACGGACAGAGGCAAACATCCCCACAGAGGAAGTCTTGGAAGTCATTGAGTTAGTCCTGGACAATAATAATTTTCAGCTCGGGGAAAGTAGGAATTATAGGCAAACGGAGGGTACCGCGATTGGGTCTAAATTGGGCAGAAATTTTGCGTGCACGTATATGGGGGCATGGGAGAAAGATTTGTTGTGTAGGTCTGCGCTCAAGCCGCTCAAATGGTATCGTTTTATTGACGATATCTGGGGTCTATGGGTACATGGAGAGGAGAGCTTGCGGGTCTTTCATGATTTGGCCAACCAGATACACCAAAACATCAAGGTGGATCTGAGGATATCTGACAGCCACATCGAGTTCCTTGATGTGGAGGTACATCTCAGTGAGTCGGGTCACATATCTACCGATCTCTTCACCAAACCAACTGATGCTCGAGCGTACCTGCACTACACTTCGGACCACCCCCCATGCGTTAAAAGGGCTATACCAATGGGCCTTGGAGTCAGGCTGAAACGTATCTGCTCAAACCAATCTGACTACCAGCGGCACAAACACAAGTTGGTCGACAGATTGGTTGAGAGGGGATACCCTAAGGATAAAGTCAAAGGTGAGCTCCGTAGAGCAGACCGTATGAAACGAGAAGATCTGCTTAGTGGGAAGGGTCAGACACGACGGTCGAAGGAGCAGGATAGGGTCCCATTGGTAGTAACATACAGTAGCTACCTGCCAAACATTAGGGGGATCATGCACAGTAATAGACACATTCTACACAGATCAGACAGACTTAAAAACATATTTCAAAAAGACCCGATGGTGGCGTATAAGCGTGGAAGGAATCTAAAAGACCTTTTGGTACATGGCAAGACGAGGAGGGCACTTACAACCCAAGGGAGGCAGGACTGCGGGAGGGACTGTGCAATCTGTCAGGTGTTCTATGAGGGTGACTCAATACCAGGAGTGGGAGGGCCCGTACACTATGACAAAACCATAGGGTGTAGGTCATCTAACCTGGTGTATGGTGTCTGGTGCAACAAGTGTGAAAAGGTGGTATATGTAGGACAAACAGGCGATACAATATACACGCGTACCCAGAACCACCTTTCATCAATACGGTGTAGGAGGGAGGGCAGGATTCCCGTGAACCGCCACTTCTCAGGAGGGGGGCACAAAGAGGGCGACTTTAGAATAATCGGTCTGGAAAGGACATGGGGGAACTCAGAGGACCGTAGGAAATTTAGAGAGATGAGGTGGGTGGGACTTCTGGGAACACTAAGGGAAAGTGAAGGAGAAAATGTCCGAAAGGAAGGGTAGGTGGGAAGGTCTAACCCAAGTGCATCTCTTCCACTTCAGGTGTTGCAAATTATTAGTTATGTACAACCGTCAAGCCCAGTTAATGGGTATTCTGCATTGCTTTCGCCGTCTGCTCTTTATTCTGTCGAATTATAGTATGGATCCAGCTGCTGGAGGCACATAGAAATATTGGATCCTGCAAATGAAAGGACAAAGTGAAATTAGATGTGATTATTTTGCTACGTGTTTTAAGTGTTTTTGTACCCATCTTTATCGTGTTTGTGTGCCATTATTGTCGAAAAGTGTGAACGATACGCCGATTTATTATTCTGACGAAGATATAAGCATACACATATATCGAAACGTCACAAACGAGTCTGTTCTCTATTTTATTATCGGCATTGGTCTGTTAACTATATATATATATATATATATATATATATATATATATATATATATATATATATATATATATATATATATATATATATATATGTATGTATATATATATATATATTTATATATATATATATATATATATATATATATATATATATATATATATATATATATATATATATATATATATATATATATATAGGCATTTTGCCATATTCTGATTTATTCATGTCATTTGTATCTTTAAGTGATTGTGAATCAAACACCCATTATATTAGCCGGGGCATTCCAGGACGATTCAACAGGTGCATAACACCCGACCCCCTCAGATTTGCTTCTAAATTGCTGTATAGGGTTATTCTGTGCCCAGAAGCCGAATCTGAGATTTTTAGACCTGTAGGAGCAACGGTTTTTGAGTTATAACATTGGGAAATTTTGGAAAGTTAAAAAACATCATTGTATTTAAGTAGCTATATCTAATCGAAAACTTTTTTTAAACTATAAAAATTATACATATTTGAACTCGCCACATCACAAGCTTTCAGATGGTATGCAAAATTTTTCAAAATTTTGAATTTGAAATTTTCAAAAAATTGTTCAAAAATTTCTTTCAAATTTTTCAAAGTGTGGCCAGTTAAATAAAATTTATTTTTTTAGCTTTTATTAATGCTTAGGGTATTGGGAAACTATATTGTGAAAATTGGAGATAGGTATTTTTTATAAATATTTTATTTTATTTTTTACTTTCTCCATGTAAATATACCATTTTGCTTTGATATGGTGCCGACGGTGCTATCTCGGGAACGGATGATCGTAGCGCGCCGGGCGAGGCGGCAATGGAAAGATCTCAACGAGATGCATCTAGACATTGTCCGAATGTTGTTCTTAAAGGTCACGGGTCAGGTCAAGGTCAGGTCAAAGACCAAAATTCCAGGTTCTCATTCCCCGGCTGCTCCTGAGGCACTTTCATAATGATGAAGCGATGTGAAAGTCGCACAGCATGCGTCCAACATATTTATAAAGGCGGTGAATCAGTAAATATGCAGTCACAAGGTGAGGTCAAGGTCAAAATCAGGTCACGAAAGGTCATGATGAATAAACAGGGATTAGGGACATGCGACACATGTTATATGGGTTATTTTCCGATTCCAAGTCAATGATGATGGGCATTTGACCATTCGGGACCAAATCAGGTCAGATTAGGCCAATGCCGAGGTCAATGTGTAAAGTTGCTGTTTCTATGTCGGCATTAAAATACCTACCTAATAAAATTGTATGATATATGGCTATACTACAGTAATGAGTGAAATGAAATGAATAATTTTTACATTTGTCTCCGTTTCCAAATTTCCATTTGGCCCATCCCGAAACCTATCGCTATATCATCTGCGCCTGTGACAGACCAGTCACTGCGAGCTCGGCTCGCTCGAATGAGCCTTGGCGCGATGACAGACGACGCGCCGGTCCATGCGGTCAAAACAGCACAATAAAATCATCGGGTGCCATAAACGCATAGGGTGACGTTGGTCGCTGGTCACAGTTGCGCGGGACAGTTGCGGGATGGGGACTCCAGTATTCCGAAAGTCACCGCATGCGACAGTGCGTGTGAACCGTTCGTGCTTGGAAATGTCACCACGTGCAGCAAGAAATTACTGCCAGGATCCGTTTGATTGTCATCATCCGAATCGAGTGCTGAAAGGAGTTCAGAGAGTATCCGCAAGACTAGTGAGTGAAGTGAATGACGACAGGGTAGGAACTGGTGCATTTTTATGCGTTTCCTGCCGGAAACGACTGCTTAAAGATCCAAAATGTCTACCGCCAAGAGAACGGTCATCGCCGTTGTCTCAGGGAGAGGCCGTTGTCGTTGGGGACTTCAGTGAGAACTATATGTACGTTCGTCATACAGGATGAGGTGCAGAGTCATCACTGGGACGCGCCACAGTGCACCGTTCACCCGTTCGTGGTGTACTGGAGGGAGAATGGAGAGGGACAGCACCAGAGCTTCTGCATTATCTCAGATAATCTAAAGCACAACACGACCGCTGTCCATGCTTTCCAAAAGGCTCTGATTCCATGACTGAAGGAAAAAAATCCGTCTTTGACTAAAATCAGATACTTTTCAGACGGCTCAGCAGCACAGTACAAAAACCGCTTCAACTTTTCAAATATCTGCGCTCACAAAAGTGACTTTGGGCTAGACTGCGACTGGCAATTTTTTGCCACCTCGCACGGGAAAGGCGCATGTGACGGCGTGGGAGGCACCGTGAAGAGAGCGACCGCTCTCGAGAGTCTACGCAGGCCCACAAGGGAGCAAATCACAAACGCGACCGAAATGCTTGAGTTTTTAAGTGACAAATTCGAGACTACAGTGAACTTTGTATTCGTGTCGAGGGTCGAAGTCGAAAAAGCTGCAGAACACCTCAAGGAGCGTTTCAGCAAAGCGGTGGCAGTGAAAGGCACGCAGAGTCTGCACTGCTTTATTCCGGTCAACCACGAGACACTGCGAGTCTCAAAGTTGTCAGGGGGACCAGCCGGCTGGTGAAAGTGCGACGCAGTAGGGCACCGAAAAGACGAAAGTGAGCCCGCGTAGACTTGCTAGCACCCCTGCCGTGTGTCTGTATGGTGGCTGTCTGTGCACTGTATTGTTGGTGATATGTGTGCCCAATACATTTCAACGAGCTGGTCACCAAAATGTGTGTTGTATTTCCTTCGTTGAACAAGGGATTGGTTGACCTGACCGTGACCTGACCTGAACTGACCTGATTTTGTCCCGAATCGTCAAATGCCCATCACCATTGACTTTGAATTGGAAAATAACCCATAAAACATGTGTCGCATGCACATAATCCCTTTTTATTCATCATGACCTTTCGTGACCTGACCTTGACCTGACCCGTGACCTTTAAGAACAACATTCGGACAATGTCTAGATCCATCTTGTTGAGATCTTTCCATTGCCGCCTCGTCCGGCGCGGTACGATCATCCGTTCCCGAGATAGCACCGCCGGCACCATATCAAAGCAAAATGGTATATTTACATGGAGAAAGTAAAAAAATAAAATAAAATATTTATAAAAAATACCTATCTCCAATTTTCACAATATAGTTTCCCAATACCCTAAGCATTAATAAAAGCTAAAAAAATAAATTTTATTTAACTGGCCACACTTTGAAAAATTTGAAAGAAATTTTTGAACAATTTTTTGAAAATTCAAAATTCAAATTTTTGAAAAATTTTGCATACCATCTGAAAGCTTGTGATGTGGCGAGTTCAAATATGTATAATTTTTATAGTTTAAAAAAGTTTTCGATTAGATATAGCTACTTAAATACAATGATGTTTTTTAACTTTCCAAAATTTCCCAATGTTATAACTCAAAAACCGTTGCTCCTACAGGTCTAAAAATCTCAGATTCGGCTTCTGGGCACAGAATAACCCTATACAGCAAATTTGAAGAAAATCTGAGGGGGTCGGGTGTTAATTTGCACCCATGAGCTGTTGAATCGTCCTGGAATGCCCCAGCCATAGGCGTTGGTTGTTCTCCCACCAGTCTGTGTGTTCTCCCCGAGCCTGTCCCTCTGACGCAGCCCGCTCTCCGGCAGTGTATCTACGCACCTCCCCGGAGGTAGCCCTGGAGCGGATACGGCGCCGCTCGCGCGACGAGGAGCGCGCCATCCCCGAGTCGTACGTGCGCGCGCTGCACGAGCTGCACGAGGACTGGCTGGTGCGGCGCGCCCAGTTCCCCGTGCCCTGTCAGGTGCTGGTGCTGGACGCCGACCAGGACCTCAGCCTGCTGTGAGTACCGGGTCGGGCAACAGCATGCTGTAATTACTAGAAAGTATAAGTGTTCAGCGTGTGGTTGTTTCAGCTGCTTGTCACCCATTTGTTCTCAGTAAGGAGGTTTATACGCAGTTGTTACAGCGGGCTCATCTCTGGTTTGTTCTCAGCAAGGAGTTGAGTGTGCGGTTGTAACAATTATTTCGTCCGTTTGTTTTCAGGAAGGAGGAGTTTAACGTGCGGAAGCAGGAGATCCTGTGCCGGTCCGAGGTGAAGAGCCCGGTGAAGAGTGACCGGCCCGCCGCGGCCAGTGCGGCGGCCGTCTGACAGACCACCCGGCCGGGCTGGGACTGGATCGGGTCGGTGTGATCCGGCCCTCAGCGGCTGGATCAGGCCGCTATGAACCGGCTCTCAGCGGCTGGACCCGGTCGGGTCTGTCTCCGAGACACACCGGCCGGCAGTGGTGTGTGAAATTGCCAAATCTGGGCTATACGCTGGGTGGCGAGAGGTCTCAACTTTGAGTAGCTAGTCGGGCTTTGCTTTGTCATGTCAACTGTGTTTTAACTTTCTGAAGTGGAACGAGAAAAGGCAGCAAGGCTGTAAGCTCTTGACATTCTCATATATTTTGGCAAGTGTTTATGTCAAACAATGAACTATCTTTAAGCCAGGACGTTGTTGTGCCATCGTCCTTACAGGTCAGTCGTTTCAGACATCCAAGGGAGACCCATTAAAGTGATACTCGTAGTGTGAACTGTATCACATGTGGCAGTTGTTCCAAGCCCTCAGTCTGACGTGTAAGTGAAACATTACGGTTATCAGTCAGAGTCAATTCCAGTGTCAACCAAACTAGTCGATCTCACGTTTTGAATATTTTGCAAGCCAGACGTATCATTTTAATTGGCAGTGAATAAGTACCTAAAACGTGACTGCAGCCGCGGACGCGTATTGCCACTGTCCGTTGGTTCTCGCTTCTCAGGCTTTCTCAGTGTCACGAGATGGATGCTTACTCAGCTGTGTTATCACCTTTTTCTGAGCTAAGCGACGACGTGCTCATTTTCATTCAAGGAAGCCTAGTTACCGTCAACACCCACGTTCTCAATCTCCCCGGCATGCCTATATTCTGATCTCCGAAACCGTTCTTTTGCCGAGCTTAGTTTTGTTTATGATTTTCTGTTTCGGTTGGGGGCCCGTGCTTGGTCCTTCTGCAGCTGGTTTTCCAATCTTTAAAGATCCACATTCAGCTGTTGTGGTTTTCACAGGGATTATTTCACTTCGTATTACCGACAAGGTTATGTGTTTGACATGTGATTGTACTATCTTTCATGTTGCTTTATCTCCCATTTTTAAATACTTATCTTGTATGGGGACAGAGCATTCCGCGTGCGTGCGAGCAGATAGTGACTAGGTTCTTCTGGTCCCTGTTGGGTTCCGTATTACTCTCTGTTATCGGTTACCCACCTCATAATCAGACTCACGACCATTTGGGCTGTCGGCTTGGGCCACACGGTGGTGTTTCCACTTCTGCTTTCAGCCCGTGTGCTCTGCGATTTCACAGACACTCATATTGTAAATACATGCGTTTTCTACAGTATGCTTTTCAAAGTGAACTGGGGAGTGTGGGAGGGCGTATTTGCTACATTTAACGTTAAGACCTCGTCTTGACGACGGATTGGGCCGAAAGTCGCGCGCGAGGTGAGACTACAGGGGAGTGAACCGAGTATCCCCGGTAGGCTGCCGCGAGTGGGAGCGTGCGCCTTTGCCGTGTCTGCCATCGACCTCTGTACACTTAACAGCGTCATATTAAGCATGCCCGGAACCTCGGCCTGAGGGGTCGATGGCATATGTGTCCGAGTCATAAAAATGTGTCTACCTGTGATCAGCCACATACTGCTCCATTTGGTTAACTCGTGCCTTACTCGATGTGATATCCCTGCGGAGTGGAAACACTCCCTCGTCAATCCCATCCATAAATCCGGCGATCCTTCCAATCCCGTCAACTTTAGGCCCATATCCATCATCCCAGTTATATCCAAAATAGTTGAGCGAGTGGTGCAGCGACAGCTGTACCACTACCTCACTATCAACCACCTCCTTTCCGACACCCAACACGGCTTCCGCACTCGCCATTCCACCGAAACGGCACTGGTCACCATTTCGGATCGCGTTCTCCTGGCTAACGATCAAAATCAAATTTCGCTCCTCTGCCTGCTTGATCTTAGTAAATGTTTCGATGTCATAGACCATTCTAAGCTTCTTCAAAAACTTCAGTTACACGGTGTGGACACTGCATGGTTTGAGGCGTACCTGCAGAACCACACACAGAGCGTCAGCTTCACTGATGTCTCTGGCAACAGGCAGACATCAACCGCACTTCCGAACAACATGGGCGTTTTTCAAGGTTCGGCACTAGGTCCCCTCTTATACACCGTCTTTTCAAACGACCTCAGCCTGTTCGTGCCGGATGCGACCGTTGTCCAGTACGCGGACGACACCCAGGTCATGGTCTGCGGCAACAGGACAGCCCTGTCAGATCTGACTGAGCGCATGGAACAGGCCCTTTCCTCTCTCGACCTCTGGTTCCGCGCAAATTCTCTCAAGGTGAACCCCGACAAAACTCAGTTGATAGTTTTTGGCAGTAGACAAAATCTGCGGAACATCACACCTTTCGGCGTCAAATTCCGCGAGCGTACAATTCAGCCCGTCTTAGAAGTTAAAAATCTAGGGGTGGTCTTTGATCGCCACCTGTCCTGGGACGCCCATGTGCAAGAAATTACGCGCAAATGCTTCGGGATCCTCATTGGCCTGTCGCACATCCGTCACTATCTTCCGGTCGAGGTCCTCCCCACCATCGTAGCCGCCCTGGTGCTTTCCCGCGTCCGCTACTGCCTCCCTGTGTACGGCAACGGCAGCCGAAAGAATCTAGACAAGATTCAAAAAGTGATTAACTTTGCTGCGCGTGTCGTATCAGGTCGAAGGAAGTTCAGCCGTTCAGCGGACGTCAGGGCGGCACTGGGGTGGCTCGATGCGGAGGACCTATTTAAATTTCATACGCTCGCATTACTCCACAAAATTTGCATGCATCACACACCAGTGTCGCTTTCATCCTCACTCCAAACAAACCGTGAGGCACGAGAACGGAGCACTCGACATGATGATGACCTGCGTCTGCCACGTGTACGGACGGAGACTGGGAGGCGCCGGTTCTTGTACCGTGCACCGATGCTGTACAATGCCCTCCCAGTGGAAATGCGCACGATGACAGTCGCCAATTTTAATCACGCTCTCAAGCGAGTTATTAGCACGAGGGAAACATAGGAATGCGTGTTTTACTACTAGTTACTTGCTGTCGTCGTCATTATTGTCTTATTTTAGTTTTTCCCTTTTTATTATGCCCGTTTTAGTTAATGTGCATGTGGAAAGTGTGAATGTCTTTTTATATCACTGCATTTCACAACTTGACTGATGGCAAGGAATAGCCACTATGAGTGGATTTGCCTGAATAAAAATTGGTATTGGTATTGGTATTGGGATTGGTGAGATGAGATCAAAGGAGGCCGAAGTGCTGTCACAAACCGGGTGGACGAAACATCACAATAATGTATGCCACTATCGTTTGTCCCTTCACCCTTTCCACGTGACCGCAAGTGACTTGTCCCGCTGACTGAATGGAAGGTCAAAATAGATGTTACGAATTACGATTACACATTTTCATGCGAAGGCTTCATGACGAGATGTTTTTTTAAGTTTATCAGGGCCTTTTTTTAAGCACGATTTAAATTTTTAAGTTCTTTGAGCACTTTGAGCACCGACCACTGCATACACGCTATAGGGTTGTTAAAAAAAAAAATTGGAAAAGTATACGGGCTTATGGCTCATGTGGTACGGTATACCTTTCTGACTTGAATGATGCCCTTTTTCCGAAAAGTATTAACTGCTAAAGTGCTAAGGATAATTTCCTCAAAAAACTTGATACCTCATGTTAGGCCTTGGTGTACGGGTCTGTTTGTATATAAACTGGCTGGTCTAAGTAATTTTACTCTGAGATATTTCGCTTTTTACAATGACGTTTTACCTTCTTTTCGTGTATGTTTTTTTTTTTTTTTTGTCGCAAAATTCAATATGACCATGATTTTTACTTGAGAGGTCCAGATTCCGGAATTCGATTTAATTATGAAGGTCCTGAATGACACGTTCACTTCGTTGCTATGGTGACTGTAAGCCACGAAGCACTGTTGTCATCAGCTGATGGGTACCGGGCTGACGTAGACGAAAGCGACGAACTCGACGGCTCAAGAACGCGTTGTGTTTGCTGACCACTCGCCGCTGTGGGATTAGGGACCAAGGAGTTGAATATTGTAAATTTGAATATGGTAAGTTTTGATTATTTTTATTAGCATTTTAAATATGGTCATCAGTCAACTGTGTCGTTTTTGAGTCATATAAATTTGCGAATGGCGGGGGTCGGCCAATTGTTTATGCCATCAGTCCGAGTACCTATGTGCCTAAGTCGATTCCAGGACAAATATCTGTATGGACAAATCTCTGTATGAATGTTTTTAACCAAAAGAAATGAAATAAACATAACCTGAATTGACCTAACCTGACTAAGCCTGTTGCAGCCTTAGTTTGTCCGTATGCGGAAGCTTTACAAAAAAGTGTGATTGACAAAGGTTTGGGTAGGAACAGTAAGTCTTAAAAGTATCGCGCAAAGTACCGGTGGATCCATCAAGCAAGATCGAGGAAAGCCCTGCATAATTTGAAGGTCACCGAATTAATTGACCTGGATAATGGACGAGGATGTCCATTGCTTCGGTGACTCAAATTTAGCAGTCCTTCCATGGTCGGGCTTGATGGATCCCTCACACTGTTTTTTTCCTAGTGGCCCTAACTTATGTTACCGGCCTCGCGTGGAGGGCGGCGTCCTAACTACGCGGTGCGAAAGAAACTGGCCGTCCTAACTAAGACTGGTGGCCACTTTTGCAGCAAGATAACATGGGAAAACCCATATCCATGTACTATGCAATGAATATGGGGAAAAACCCATGATTTTACGTTAAAACACATAAATGACAGTACTTTAAAGCCTGACTATACACTGACAAAAATTTGTCCCGAAATGGAGCAAGTCAATTTTGGGTAAACTTGAACCAGTTTTTATGTTGATGCCCACAGTTCTGTTGTTTGGTTACTGATTTTGTACATTTGATACAGATTTAATATTGTCAATGTCCATGGACAGATGGCCCAATCTTCTATCTGCCCTGTTGCCCAGTGGATATGGGCATTGGACTATGTAGTGAGAGCCGAAGTTTGGTTCATTCTAGCATTCAGCAGTTCACTTCTTCCTGGGATAGTTTGCCGTTGGCCAAAGCAGTTTCAGGCGAACTCTGAACTTGCCCAGACAATCTGCCTGATTGCCACTAGGGCTCCAACCCTGGCCCTAAGAACTCTGAACTGGAAAGTTTTACAAACGAGTTATAACTAATAAGTGGAACCTATCTTGGAATGGGAAATGCAAACCTATTTCTAAATCTCTGAAAGAGATGTGCGAGCTTCAATAAATGAATTTATGGCATTTGTTTCACATGTTTGTGAGCTGGGAGTATATGTTTGCAATATAGGTGTGGTATTGTTCAGACTGGGGTTTAGGCTAAGGATCAGCACTAGGACCAATACTAGGCAGTTTAAGTGAGTCAGTGATAAGTGGATGGACTGTGTCTTGCTTTGATGTGCCTTGGGCTAACCAAACTTCTGCACCCTAAGTGTCACAATGCCACCAAGGATTGCTTCTTATTGTTTGGGGAGCATCCTGATCCTATGCAGCAAGCTATATTCAATTTTATTTGAGCATTATTAATAGAAAGTAGGCAGACTACAGATTCACTCAACAAGCTGGCTTTACAAGTTCTTAATCAGAAAAGCTTGCATTTGCTAGAGATGCTAGATGATATTTTGAAGATAGGTGTATAACATTGTATTCCTAATTTGTTAAGTCAGTCATGCTTTTCTACAAAGTGAGTTTGTGTGTGTGAGTGCACTGTGACTCCCTTCACAAGTAGTAGGTATGTGTGTTGTTGTGACATTGTTTCATTATGTGTGCTGTTCTGACCTCTCTTCAGTGTCTCTGCTGTCGATCTTTTGATTTCTTGATCTTTAGTTCAATGTATGGCGTATTGGTATCCCTCCAGTGTCCATATTGTGACCAGTGCTGACTGCCTCCAATACCTATTATTGTGATCTGTAATTCACTCCTTGCATTATGTGTAGTTACATTTGCAATGGGCTGTTTCACATTCTTCGCATTCTTGTTCTACTTTAAGCCACCCAGTACATGTTTTTGTCTGTCACCAGGCCCTGATCGTTATAGTGTATCGTAGACACTCCCTCTCTTTGACACAGCCCCATGACTCTCCAGTGTGCTCTGTTAATGTCATTTGAGCCTGCCCTCAGTGTATGTGACGAGTTCACCCACAGTAGGTTCAGGGAACTGTTACCGGCCCCTGTGTGTCCCCGTAGTCGGCTAGCTCGCCCTCGGCGTCTGTCTGTGCCGAGTTCGCCCACGGTATGTCCCCCGTTATAGTGCTGACCATCCCTGTCTCCCCTCCTCAGCCGGCTCCAGCGAGTGCCACCTCCGTGGGCGGCGGCGGACGGTCGCCCAGCAAGGGCATGGCGCGCCCGGCCGGCGGCGGCGGCGGCACCGTGCGGCAGCGCAAGCCGGCCTCGGGCGGCAGCGTCACCGCCAAGCGCAACACGGGCGCCGGCAGCGGCGGCATGTGGCGCTTCTACACGGACGACTCGCCCGGCATCAAAGTGTGAGTGGCCGCTGCGCAACTGTGGCCGCTCCTCTTGTCCAACTCTGAGACCGTCTCTCAGTGGTGCTCAGTAACCGGAGGCGCGGGTAGCCACAGTTTCACTTTAGCTCTGGCTGACGTCTCAGTCTTCAAATTTTTGCTCACTTGAAAGAAGTTCGACACTTTTATCGCCGGAGAAATTTGGCGAAGAAATTAGCAGTGCTTACGTTTGAATCTAATCGATACTGACTGTCCACTTGACAGTCGCTCAAGTACGTTTCACCGCACTTGCGATCACAAGTGAACTGTCGTTTGACTCTTTACCCTCCGTCCTCCACAGCGGACCGGTGCCGGTGCTGGTCATGAGCCTTCTCTTCATCGCATCCGTCTTCATGCTGCACATCTGGGGCAAATACACGCGCGGCTGAGGTGCCGCTCCATCGATACGCGGACATTGACATACGGAACACAGAGAAAGGGAGAAGCGACGCCGCGCCATCTCTCTATTTATTGTCGGGCACCGGCGGCGACGCTGTGCATTCCGCTGCGCCGCTCTTTTTACTACCCGAGTGTTGTTGATGTACCTGTTTTGTGACATGTCGGGTCGACAGGCGGCTCATCAGTTGTGTAATAAAGGGTCCATGGGGGTCCGTGGAGATCTGTACCGTCGAGTTTATGGGAGAACGAACACTAGGTGCGGGGGAACGCGGCTGCACGGGGACTTTTATTTCGTGTTTCATGACAGACAGGCAAGGACAGATAATCCGTACATCCTAGTTTTGGCGTAACAGAAGCTACGTAAAACTTCAATGATTTGACGCCAAAAACCTTCAGCTTGTTTCGTAGTGGCGCCTTTGCTAATTTCGCCTCGTTATGGTGCTTCAATGACTAAATATTCCATGATATTGATTGATGTCACTCGCCGACTGTATCGGACTTTCGGGGCTGTATGGACGGCAGTGCTCGGCTTGCTGCTTCTCTATTTCCGTTCGCCGCCAGTGGCCAGTGGAATCAGTCGCTGTTGATTCTCCGCTGTGTCGGTTTTCCTGTCTGTGCAATGCCCGCACCACCGGCTGTCCTCGCCGGGCCGCCGCACGCGAGGTCGGCGGCGACCACCGACTTTCCTATTGCCACGGCTTGGCCTCCTCGGTACATTGATTCCAAAGGGAAATCTACCGGTCCAGTTGTCACCGCGGTACTGGTACTGGTATGGTGTGATGGCGGGCTTCATGATCGAAACTGCTTATTCTTACTGACGTGTTCTGGCAGAAACCATGTGAGGACGCATTGCCCACGACCACGCCAGTTATATTGCACCACCGCGAGTTCCCTTGTTCAGGTCTATTCGGAGATGAACGTTAACCAATCTTCCGGCACGGGCCTCCGTTATGAGTTACCTCCACCGTTTGGGACGCAACCGGTCGCTACAAGATTATACCTGTAGAGCAACGTCGCTACCACCTCGCTCAGCTTGCGACAACAATAGCGCAGCCCGCCCTCCGCAGCGCCACCTGTAGCCGTGAACCAGACCGCTGTTCCCTCCACCACCTCGTGTCGGCGTGTGAACTATTGTCAACATCACGTGAAAAATCCGAGCACTGTCTACTCGAGACATACTCGAGAAGCACTGTCCAAGACTTCCCGGCTCCGGTTTACTTTTCGAATGGACAAAACGGCAAACGCAGCTGTGCGTTTTTATATATTTATTTCATCCAGCAAAACACCAAGAGAGAGTAGAGCGTACATGCATTTCTACCGGCCCACAGTTTCCAGACGCCCTCGTCGAGGCTACAAAAGCGATCCCGTCGTATAGCTAAGGTAGCGCAGAGGTGCCCGTAAACGGGCCACCGTGAGAAAAGGTAGCACGTGGTGATTACATTAATAGATCTGGTTGAATGTCGTAGGCGTGTGTCGGTGTCTCTGGCTATGGCGTTAGGTGCGATCTCCGCGGCGGCGCGGCGCGCGCAGGTCCGCCGCGGGTCGGGTCTCCAGTATCCGGTAGGATGTCCGGGCGGGGCCGATGGGCCGCGTCCGCTCAGTTCTCGGCCACACACTGCTCCACGGGCAGCGGAGTGATCTGGATGGCCGGCTCCGGCATCGGCGTCAGCGGCCACACGGCGTTACGGACCGCCTCGCTGTGGACACAGGGTTCAGATGGGTCAGATGGGTAACAAGGGATGACACAAGGCAAGGGTTCACAAATGGTCCGGTCAGGTAAAATGACAGGACATGGTTAAGACACTGCACCAACTCGCAATTATGCAGATCGCAGTGACTATGTAAACTATATAATATGCACAGATCTGCGTAACCTCCACCGGATTTATGATGCGGCAAGCCCATATCATCGCCCAGGATATCTGGCATGGCGGATGGCGTGGGCGCGGCATATGGTAGTGGGCAGAGAATACTGAGAGAGGGCAGTAGCTGTACCTCAGTTTGGCAGTGATGACGGGGTAGACGGTGGCGCGCGGGAAGCCGTTGAACGTGCCGGCCGCCGACAGCGTGTAGGCGCCCATGTTCTCCCAGACGAGCCAGCTCTGCGGCTCCAGCGGCGGCAGCAGGCACCCCTCGCAGATGCGGTCCATCGAGTCGCACGTGGGGCCCCAGACGGTGGCGGGGATGCTCTCAGCCGGCGCCTCCTGTGGACGGGACGGCGGACGGTCAGGGGTGGATGGTCAGCACTGCACGATAACAGGTTCACTGCAGCACGGGTCCCCAAATACACCAGAATTGCCCGTCCACATCCCACAGCTACACACTGTTCTACGAGTCCCCATTCCACAGTTACACTTCAATATGGGTCCCCAGAGGCCAGAACCTACAGCTACACTATTTTAGAGGTCCTCGCAAGCCGCAATCCACCGGGTCCCTCACATCCCCAGTGTCACACACTGCCCTTGTGCACCCCGTATCATGGCGCTGTGCTCACCTCCAGGGGGCGCGGCACGCACACCAGGTGGTCGTACAGGATGCAGTTGAAGGCGCCGTACACCCCGTCGTTGACATAGTAGTCCACAGAGTCGGCGGCGCGGCGCACGGACGTCACCTGGGTGGCCAGCGTGAACGCCGAGGCGGCCATGTAGCGTCCCGGCTCGGCGATCACCGTCACGCCCTGCGACTCGGGGAAACACTCGTCCAGCGCCGAGTTGATGTAGCCGGCCGCCTCGTCGAGCGAGGAGCCGCGCTCGCCGGCGAACCCGCCGCCCAGGTCGAGCAGGGAGAGCGTGTAGCCCACCTCGGCGGCCTGGTCGAACACCAGTCGCGCGGCGCGGATGGCCCGCTCGTAGACGGCGAACTCGCGGCAGCCGGAGCCCACGTGGAACGACACGCCCACCACGTTGAGGCCCTGGGCGGCGGCCAGCTTCAGGAGGCGCGGCGCGGCGCTCGGCACGGCGCCGAACTTGATGCCCAGCGGACACTGGGCGTCCTCGGCGTCGACGCGGATACGCAGCACCAGGCTGGGAACGGGACGGGATGGGCGGACGACGTCAGACGGGCCACAGCACACACACTGCAGACACGACGGTGTTAATGACAGACATACAAAACACACACGGCAACAACTGACCGAGACAAGCTGACACATCCTGCACCAGACTACCAAAAAAAGCAGAACAAAAGAGAATTGATCTTCTCTAACCCAAAACAGAGCGACATGGGAGGGAAATCAACCAATTAGAACCAACGTCTAATTATTGTTGTTAATCAAAGACTGAAACAGGCATAACTTCGTCAGAGTATGGACAGTTTTACTGTAGATGTTATCAAACACTGAAACAAACGAATTTGTCAGAGAAGGGACCGAAAATGACCAGAACAGGTGACCCAAGCACGTCATTCATACGTGGACTATTCACGGGTCATGAGTTCGTTGTCTCGTCGCGTCCTTCCACATCTGTTGAGCGTGGGTGTCGGCAGGTGACAACATCTCCACGGAGAAAACTGCCGCCACCGCCTAGATTTGAACCGGGGCCCCACAGATGTGACCAACAGCGGGCAACCAGCGATTCCGACGAGCAATCCAGTGACTGTCAGCGATTCCATGCGCAATCGACCGAAACAGAACTGAAATGAACCATGGTTCTCTGGTCAGTTAGGGCATGCGGCGTACATTGACATTCAAACGAAAAAACAGCGATGCTACGAAAATAAGGTCGTTAGTCAGCGCACAACGTTGCGAATGCTTAGCCTCAATAACCCAAACACAAAGCACACACATTAAACAGACATGTCGCTACAGAAACATCACATGACATCATTTCAACGAACACTGCTCCGCACAGAGCCTTCTCTATTTACTGTCGTGTTCGTAGAAGCGAGCACTGGCGTGCTTTCTAGGGTGTCCCGGCCACGGCGGGTTCCCGTCGGACCAGGCAGATCTGGAACGCGCCGGGTCCGCCCAGCCCCTCCACCAGCCTTACCGGATGCCCCCATGGCGCCGCGACCGACCGTCTCAACTGACAAATAACCGACGCGATGCCTAAGATGAATCAGGGAGATGGTTCCTCATTGCTTGGATTGGATTTCAGGAAGAAAAGTAAGTCATTTGAGCTATACATTACAACTCAAAGTCCGACCGAAATCCATAGACGGTAGCCCTCGCGATCAAGAGTATTGTTTGAAGAAGCTAGGCTCAGGAAGAGATACGCCGTCCCGGCAGTAATCTTCAGTTGAGCATAACGAGACTTATTCAAGTTTCGCGTATGTATCGCTAGTGTGTGTCCGCTGATCTTGACGCAAACGCTATAAGCGAATTATTTGCATTGATGCGATATCAAAGGATTTCCCGGTTCCAACCTTCAGTCACGTCAGTCGTGGATATTTCAACAGCGACAACATGAAATGAGTTCCATGAGAAATTTCGTAAAATGACTTCAAACAAGCCTTCAAAATTTCATATCTTCGTGTCAGCAGTTTTAGAACCAACTGCCACTACGTAAACGCTAGAACAGCGGAGCGCTGGGTCAACGCCCGGCGGTTGCTTTCCGACAACAATGCATTAGAATTAGATATTACTCCGATACAGACGTGCCACCCACTGCTGGCATATCGAACAGCCTCCCAAAGAGGGCGGTTTATTTCGCGAAACTCGTGAATTCTTCCGGCGATTCGGCCCATTCGCCGCAGTTGGGGCCTCCTCAGTGCCCCCGGCGGCGGGTTGCCTCACCAGGCTCGGTCCCAGGCACGGGTGACGCGCCGGGCACGTGGCTCTGACCGCGTTCCGCCGGCAGACGACCCTGTTTGCGCAGTCTCGGCGGTGGCGACCTCTAACACAAACAGAGGCGTCGGGTCCAGCAGGACGCTCACCGCGCAGGCCACCAGCCAGGGCACCTCCCGTAGCGGCGGCAGCGACCGGTCTTTCCAGAGACTCCCCTGTCCTCCGGCGGAGCCTGTACGCAGATACCGGGCCCGACTCTCACAGCCGGGAGACGGCGGTTAGCACCGCGCCCGGCCAGTGAATCCCGGCTATCTCCGGACAGGTCCGGAGCTGTCCGGATCGCACCGGCCGCAGCCGGTCCAGCCGTGACGCGGTGTGCTGCGGGCGAGCAGCGACCCCCACCAGAGCGCCAGGGCCGTGCACAGGGTGGCTTACACCCTCACTGGGCCAAACCGCTGGCAGGCCGACCGAGAGCGATCCTATGCTCGCGAAAACCAGCTGCGCACACCGGCTAGAACAAGTTCTATCGAAAGTGCTGCGACGTGAAATAAATGTCTGAAATATGACGACATAGTGCACACCAAATATGGAGAAAATGACCAATGGCTAATTTCAGATCATATTTTATGTATCCTAGCTGACTCCTGACACCTAACATTCATTCTACGAGTATGAATCTTTGTTTCCTTTTCGTTTTCTTTTTAGCTCGAAAAAATAAAGGAACGAAAACTGAAAAAGCGCTTGCTGTATAGAAGGAAACATTTACGAGTCTCTTAAGTGTAGATACAGGCTGAAAACTCTATAATATCGGACAGAACAAATGAAATACGATTTGAAAAAGATTTACAAGTAACCCATTGAAATAATCGAGAAAAAGGTTAAGTGAAAATCAGAGAGAAAAGAAAACAAATGTGTGGCAAAATGAGATTTTTTCATCGAAAAATAGGCCTAACAACAACCCGTTTTCCTTTTAAAAAATAACCATCACGAAGGGTGTTTCGCAAATCGAGTGATGACACTCGGACGCGCTGAGAGATTCAATAATTCGCAAAATATCGCTGTAACTAAGCCAGAAATGTGATTTTTAAGATGTAACAGTTAGTTGATATTTTTAAGATGTAACAGTTAGTTACTATCTGCTCTAGTGAAAAAGTTTTAGTCCACCTCAAGATTCCACCATTTCAGACGTAGGAAACGGAAAATAAGCGCTAAAAATATAGCGAGTTGCCGCTTCTACACCGTTGTAAAAGCCTGAATAGAGTGGAGTGCTGCAACATTTGTTCAGCCCATCCCAAGCGGAATTAGGGCTAATTACGACTCCCTGCCGCGAACTCCTAACTGACGAGCGAGGGTTACCGTTACGACTGCTGCTCCGGAGGCGATGTACTGCTGTTCAGCGCGGTTCATACCTTACAGTGGACCCACCGCCGACTGTGCAGGGAAAGACCCGTCATCGCGCGCGCTGTTGAACACTCTGTTTTAATTACCTGCGGCGGCATCCAGCCTAGCTCTCCCGCGGTACGTCCAGCTCCCCGGTACCTCTCACGCGCGGCTGTGCCCCTCCGTTACCTGTGTGTCAGACCAGTTCACAGGCCGGGTCAGAGGCCGTCGAGAGACCGCCTCGCACCAGAGCGGCCGGCCGGTAGGCCGGTAAGGACCTGTAAGACCCGACCGGTCAGCAGACCTCCAGTGCCACTCCGATCCCAGCGGGCACTCACCGCGCGTTCGGCGCCAGCGTCTGGACCTTGGTGAGCTCGGTCTCGTTGTCGAATGTCATGAGCTGCACGTCGCGGGCGACGGCGTAGCGCAGGTGGGATGCCGGCTTGCACGGGTTGGCGAAGATGATCTGTTCCGGCGGTACGCCCATCTCGGTCATAGTCTGGATCTCGGCCTGGGGGACGGGACACAGGGTCAGTGGTCACAGTCTGATCTCGGCCTGGGGTAGAGACATCGGGTCACAGACTGGATATCGACCCAGTGACGGGACACCGCGCCACAGTCTCTGCTGCTGCCCTGTGCCTGGGACGGGACACTGGGTCACATACTGAATATCGGCCTATCGCCCTATCTGTCTGGGGACGGGCACTAGATCATCGACTGGATTTAGGCTTGTAGTCGCAGTCGCAAGAGACGGTTATGTAATACATTTCGGCCTGAAACATCCCACTGGAAGAAAATGTCTGGAACATGAATGAAACTGAAAACGCATTATATAAAGTCCAGCTGTCAGCAAATCACCCAAACACACCGAAAGCGAGACACGGCACACCGCGAACCAACCTTCGAGGCGCAGTCGAAACCGGCGCCCAGGGCCTTGAGGACTTGAAGTAGAATCGGGTGGTTGTTGCATTTCACCGCTGAAATGGAGCGCAAGACATTCGTCAGGTTAGGAATCGGTCGCAAGAATACGCGCAATTCATTGAGCAATGACGGCAAACAGAATTATATAGATAACCGGAATTCATCCAGCGAAGCAATAACAGAACTACTTGACCAGAACACCACGTACTGACAAGATCAGCCAAATTGTGAGCCCGCCTCCCCTCCGACATCGTTTCATCCAAACCCCTCCCAGGGACACCGTTTCGTCGAGGAACGTCGACCGATCTGGCCCATGACCGTCTGGGGGATGCGGGAACACCGGGGCGGGGCGGGGGAGAAACTGCGCGACACCGTCGGGATCGATCGTGCCATCGGCGGCGGTCCGGCCCGTCGGCTTCGGGTCTGTGCGGATCGAGAACCACCGCAACCACCGCGTCCCACGTGACAAGGAGCTGCCGGGATGTGCCAGATGGAAGGCAACTGGTGGGTGCAACCAGTTGCCGAATACGGGGGATAGAAAAAGAGTAAATGAGAAAAAACGCTCGACTGATGGCCACAGCAGTTGCCCGATACAAAAAAAAAAATGGGAAAAGAAAACTTAGTGGGCAAGATGACAAACACCAGACTGACGGAAAGGAGGAATACAACCTGAACTACTAGAAAACAAAGAAAAGGCATGCATACATAAGAGAAAATGGATCAGTCTCCTGTCCATTAAAGCTTGTTTTCAAGCGGTGACAACCAACACGATTTTTCCAAAGGATGGAATAATGCCCAGGCCAAAAGTACGAACTTACCGTAGAATGGCAGCACGCGGGGTAGTTTCTCTAGCCAGGTGTTATATTTTAGAATGACGTCATCGACGTCAAACAGGTAAAAAGCATCTTCAGTTTCCTGAAAAAAGAAATAAGCATAATCATTGAAATTCATATAGGGAAAAACAGAGCGCGCGAGGCACGGGGCACCCACACCTTCAGAGCGTCCCAGAAATCTTGGAGCCATTTCGGTCACATGTTTCTCGCATGCACACGCATAAAAATAAATTAAACCTTGTCATTTATAAACCACAAGCACCAAAGTTTTGATACATGAGATTTGCGCACGTTGACATTTGTCTCAGCCTCATGAGACCGAACCGAGTCGAAGGAATGAAATGGACTGTTTACAAGCGTAGCAAATCAGGAGAATTTGACGACGAGAATATAACTCGGAGCCCGAAAAAGTCGGCCCATCGCAGCTGCGGTACACTGAGCCAACCTAAGCCAACCTGCGCTTCTCCAAGTCCTCCTTCTATAGAAAACTCCATGAGTGGCTACAAGTTTTACCAACTACGCGAAGAAGTAGCCACTAGCCGCTGATGTGAAAAAAAACATGAGACTGACTGATATTTTTCTTCACATCAACGATTTTTTCTCACTTGGCTCGCAAAACTCGCGAGCGGCTTAAGGCTAAAAATATTCGTAGGCGGCGGTATAACTGTTGATAAAACTCGACTTTGATTAGAATTCAGTAAGGACGGATCCTGCTAATAACGTAAAGATCAATGACCCAACATCGAGAAAAATATTTTTTCAATAAGGACACTGGCAGCCATGGTTCCTTGTCGGCCTTATCGAGCTGGGATCCACTGGAGTAGGTCAATGAACTTGCATGGCCTCCAGTATACCTACAATCTCGATAGAGATCATCACTGAAAGAACATCGAATGTGACATTCAAAATGGGTGTTCCAGGGGCACTGGTACACAGATGTCTCGAATGCTGGTATCGTGTCGCCGTCCTTCGGGTCGGACGGAGGGCGGCTGACGTTCGGGCGCAGGCTGAGTGGAATTTTACACAAAACTGGCTCACTCGGGCCCACCACCCAGTCGCCGCGGTCTAAACGACGGTACCGTGCCGCTCTCAGAGTCGGAAACTGACCAGGATCGCAGCCGACCCGATCCAATCGGTCCTACTTTATATGTAAACCCCGGGAGGGTTTTCTGGGGATCCCCATGGATCCACTACCGCTGTCTTGTTGGCTACTGTACGTGCATTATCGCAGCAAATCACTCCGAAGATTTCGACTGTGGTTGCGTGACCGATATAAAACCTCGTAATCGCACGTTCTACAACACCTATCGACACAGATAAGATCAAAATTCCGACCGATTACTTCTGACAGACAGACAGATAAGGTAGGCAGAAACTTGAGAGCACAAACACTAAGCACTTCAGATGCATTTAACCCTATTCCTGGCGGGGGGGGGGGCCTCAGGAGCCCCCCCCTGAGGTTTTTTGGTTATATCTCCCAAACGCGTTGAGCTAGGAAGCTCAAATTTTCTGACTTTTCCTAAAAGGCTTCTACGCAACATGTCTGAAAATTTTGAGCTGATCTGACCTCAGGTCAGGTCACCAGAGGCGGTTTGGTGACGCTACCTCAGAAAAGTTTGCAATCACGCCAGAGCTAGAGTTTTTGACCGATCAATTTCTTCTCTTCAGGGTTTAGTTAGGCTACCAGTATGTGCAATTTGTATATCTCGGAATTTTGATATCGGTGACCTAAGGTCAGGTCAATTTCGCGACCTCCCCATTATAAGTCAATGGGGGAAAAATCAACTCCCTGTTTTTACCACTAAAACGGGTCGGAATGGCCCCATATACCATACATGACTTCATATACGATCAACCTTCACTACCTTTAGGTCTGTTTTGCTGTTGGGCAGCTGTGAGGTCATGTGACGTCATCAAAGGTCACCAAAGGTTTTTGGCCAATAACTCCGTACAGGAACAAGATACAGACGCGTGGATGGTCTCATTGTGTTCAGCTCGTCAAGACGCATCGAATGATGTACATGATGACCTCGAGGTCACGTGACCTGAGGTCAACCTTTGACCTTGACCTTTCGAGGTCAACATATATATCATTCGATGCGGATTGACGAGAGGATCATGATGATGCCCTTAGTTTGTTCCTATCTTGACTAATTCGAAAGTTATTCGAGAAAAACTCTCTCCATATCTAGTGCCGCCATTTTGACTTTTTCGACCCCTGTGACGTCATCTTTGACCTGACCTGAAAATGACCTTTGTAAAAATTGTAGATCTTGGCCGTGCGTATCCGATGCCGTTTACCGCTTGTCGCTATCTTGCTTCGTTCTCGAGATCTCAGGGGGGGGGCCGAATCGGCCCCCCCGCCAGTTTCTTGTCCCGGCGGAGCCCGCCAGGAATAGGGTTAAATGCGTGTCAGTACACAATAAATAAACGAGAGTCCATGACGAGAGAAAGATTCAATGGCGATTCGTGCCCAGGAAGAAATTTAGTACGGCTCCTCTGAGCAACCACCCATGACTTGACGACATTGCCAACTCAAGCATCCGCCGTTCCGCTGCCAAACATGGATTTCGATGGGGTACCGGGTATGTAATGTTTATCGCATAAATTCCTCGCCATCAGTGTGCCTGCTCAATGTCTGTTATGTGGCCATTTATGTAATCGAGGTGACCTCGCCAGGTCGCCGGCTGGGGCCCCGTTTCGGGGGCGGCGCCGGGGCAGAGGGCAGCCGGCCACGTGGCCACGCGCCGGCCGCGTGACGACGAGCGTCGCCTGTTACCAGCCGCTCGAGCCGGCTGGCCGGGGGCGGGCCGACCTGGCCAGACCCGTACCAGGAGCGACAGGCCATACCCGTCCCAGGAGCCACGGGACCGGGTCGGCGCGGACCAGGGGACCACTCCCAGCCGCCGCCGACCAGCGCCGCCGCCGCTGGCCGCGGGCTCTCGTCATCTCGGCTACACAATCTCGGCTAACACGTCAACGACCCCCGAACGGAAACACGTCAGGTACCTACTTCATTGTCAGAACGATTACACAAGCCGGAAGCTAGGGACAAGTCGTGTAAATGAGGTAATAAGGCCATTGGGCTAGGCTGGTGCGAGTTCCAAAGCTCGGTGCAACAACAGAGTGTAGGAGGAATTTTACCCTGTTCGATCCGACAATTACTAGCTTCCCTGCAGCGCTTCAATTTCCATGTTCGGCTTTCAGTTCGATAATATCCTTTCATCAATGCTTCGATACATTATGAACAGCAGCTTTTCTACTCCCAATTAGCATTCGTGCAGCATTTGATTCTACAAACTCATTTGATGTCCGTGGCACTAAAAACAAGCCCCCCCCCCCTCTCCCGCCCGGCTGGATCCAGGCTGTCCGTGTTCCGTAGCTCGCTGGACGCACCAGCTGGCAGTGGCACCCCTGTGACGTCACAGATACGTCAGCAGCACGGCCGCAGCAGCCTGCTGTTACATGTCCGGCGTACCGCACTGAAGCGGCGTGTCTAAACACGCAGACCATCCCCAGGCTGCTACGCAGACAACAGGGGAAGACAAGATTATCAGAAGACGAGGGACAGACTCTGACAAAGGATGAGATGATAAAGAGACAACAGGTGCGAGAGAAAAAAAATAGGACGGGATGACTAGGAACGATAGGGACAGACTCAGAAAGGATGAGGCGAGAGACGACAAGGGGCGACAGAAAAGATGGACGAGATGGCACGTAGGCAAAGAACGCGAACCACATCAAAAGTCCGGTCGATTCTCGGCCGGGTGACATAGTAATACAGTGATATAGCGATATTCGGACAGGGGGGATCAGGGATGTCGTTCAGCACGGCAAGGTCCCTGAGAGGGTCTGACGCCAGACGGTATATCGACCAAGTACACGCCAAAGACGGCCACGCTGTCAGCCCACCAGAGGAACAGGAGCGAAAGTCGAAGGGCACACGTAACAACGCCAAGCGCTACCACCGACGGGATATCGAACACCGGGGCACCAGTTAATGACTTAGAGACATCCGCTGTAGGTAGCATGACAGCCATCAGTGATTCGAAATCGTTCTAAGGCGACAAGATACCTGATGTCTAGATACTGATGACATATGGCAAGAAGTGGTGTCATGTTAACGTGCTTTCACAACACCCGCCTGTTTTGTAAATGCTCCTCCAATGTCACGCCGAGCTCAGCATCACTGCTTTCTGATGATTTGTGAGTTGTCTGACTGTAGGCTGTTTACGAGAGGAAAAAACATACGGAGCGCCTACTAAAGACCGATTTGCCGTTATGAAATACAAGCTCTACCAAATTGATGGACATTGGATAGCGTCACTCACCGAACTAATACCTTATAACTATTGCAAATTACAGGATATTTTCGCCACCGACGTATGTTGAAAAGGTTCAGTTAAAACTGTGTATAATTGTGGCCTAATGAGAGCCTAAAGCGCGAGGGACTGTTAATGCATGTTTACGCCAAAACTTGAAATGCATCAAAACGCATGAATAAAAACAATGCAGATAATTTCGGAATCATTTTCAGCAAAAAAACGTCAAATTTTAAAAAGTTTTTGCCCTCTGGAGGCTCAACTGTTGACCCTAGGCCAAATCTGAGTACTTTAACCAGAAAGAGCTGTGATCGAAAAATGACCTTGATAATTCTAAAAGATCCATACTGCGCTATTAAAATGCCTTGTTTTTCAGTCTTTCTTAGCTTTAGAAGTTTCCGTCTTCCGAGATAACTGGGTGTGGCCAAATACGCCCTCCCCCAAGACAAAGTTGGTTTAGACCCCCATTTTCTTGGCACGTGTTAAATAGTCCATTTCAGAGGCTGCGAGAGTGGCGAATGTTCTAAACGCTGCCCCCTGGATTTACCAGTCTGATTTCAAAATTCGATAAACCACCCAGCATTGAGGACACCGCCCCGTTTTCGTCCGGTTTGCACTCACCCGAGAGATTTTGGAGACGAGTTGTTGGCAGACGGCCGGGGACATAGTGGGGGAATCCACCACCATGACCTCGGCCGTCTGCTGCGGAGAGTTCTGCTTCATCGGTGGGTAACGGCGGCTAACGACGGGACGGCGGAGCGAGCGGCGACGGCGGGCGTCTGCAACACGGGGACAGAGTCAGAGCACCGCCGGACGGAGTCAGCCCACCGCCGCACAGAGGGACACGGGAGCAGAGTCGGTCCACTGACAGTCAGAGGCCACTGATGGACAGCAAGAGGCTACTGACGGACAGCTAGGTATTTAGGCCACTGATGCATCGCCAGACCATGCTGATGTATCTCCACCTCACAGTGAGACATCAACTCACACACATGGGAGATGTGGGACCAGTCCAGAAAAGCAGTGCAAAAGTTTTACTGGAGATGACATACTGGAATGCTATTAGGAGAATTTGTGCTAGTTTGAACAAGTTTTCCAGGGCTTTGGCCCAAATCATTTACCAAATCTAAGAACTTTCAGATGAAATATTTGCTGTAACTTTAAATATCAGCTATGTAGACCAAGCTATTGAACATAAAAATTAGCATATCTGTTCTTAGCTCTGAAGCAATGGCTCCTGTCAGGTCTCACCTGTTAACTGTGGGCCGGTCTAGGTCACTGGAAGTTGTCAGAACCAGGGCGGGAGTCCGCTAGGCACCAACCAAGAGTTGACGGTGAACAGGACGAAGCCAATCAGCTCCGGGTAGGCAGGCAGCAGCTCAGGCTCAGTCTGATGGCAGTGAGGGTTCAAAGTAAAAAAATACAAAGTCATGGCTTCAAAAACATTTATAATGAGCTCAAAGTTCTCACAGCTTATAATGCATAGTAATTTCTTAATAGGTCAAATTCTAGCATGTTTAACTGAAGTCTTTAGTAATAAGATTCAATATTCATAAAAAGAATGCCTATTAGGTACTCAGGACTCGATACAGATAGCTTACAACACAAATCCAAATGTCAAATTAAATGTTTTCAAGCATTCCTCCTAGCTAATATCACCACATCCCTCACATGACTGTGACTTTATCAAGGATGTTTCTAGGCAGATCAAGAGTAAAAATCACTTTATGTTGCAGCAGTTGCACAAGAAGCAGTCGAAAGTCAGGAGATCTCCAAGCTGAAATGTTTGATATCGATATTAATCAGAACTCAACTATTAAAATAGTAAGGTTTGGTATCTGGTTCCTTATCATCATCATAATGAAACTTAACACCAAAAGCGCTCAATTAAAAATTAATCATATATCAATAGACATTGACATTTAGACAATGGCCATACCTCTGCGAAGCTATCCTCTTCCCACCACTTGTGTGGGTTTTTCTCTAGGACAGGAATCTTCAAAACTTTGAGTCACGTTAGAAAAAGAAGGGAAATGCTGATGTTAAAACCACAAAATTAGGAACGATGTATCACCATCCAATGATCGATGACGAGAGCCGCTGATCCGACACCACACTCCACCGCGCCCCGCACGAAAATGACCGCAGTCGACAAGGTTTTGATTTCAGCTCAGATCACGAGTCCCTCGCCGCGCTGATCCGAACGCCTTTGGCCCCGCCCATTTATTGCGTCACTATGGCAATCAAGCCATGGTACCCATACTCTACAACAGCCGAGACGGTAGAGTAATAAATAAGGCTGAAAAAGAAACTTACATGAGGCTTGGATTTTAAAATTGTTTTTTCCATTTGATTAAAATGGCGAAATAGACGTAAAAATTATGAAAGTGTCAGCAGACACCATCTAATGTAGTACCTACAACCTACCTAAGATCCGCTCTCATTGGCTAGCTACCAGGAGCGCAGCCAAGGGGGGGGGCACACTGGGCTTTAGCCCCTCCCAAATTTAGCAGGCGCCCTTCCACGATCATTTCGGGGAGCCGAAGGCGCCTTTCTAATGTCCAGCACTCTAAGCGCCCTCGACGGTAAGCCATTGCGGTACATCATGCGGCACTGGTTTACAATTTTGTATCTCTTTGTGGGTGAAGATGCACCCCCAATCCTGAACTGCCGGATATACACCCCCAGTCTCCTGACCATCTAGCGCCCTCCTCATCTTCAGCGCCCTTCTGTCTGTTCGGCGCCCCTCTGATCTGTCGGCGCCCTTCTCGCCATTCAGCGCTAATTCAAAAAGGGCCTATCGGCGCCCTTTTCACATTCGGCGCCCTCCGGGCTGACCAGTCGGCGCCCTAATGGTCCTTACCACACAGCATCCTCATGATCCGCCTGCGCCCTCCACACTTGTCGGCGCCCTCCTGACCTGTCAGCGCCCTCCTTATCGTATTACAGCGCCCTCCTCACCGTACAGCGCCCTCCTGACCTGTCGCCGGCCTCCTCACTGTATAGCGGCCTCCTAACCATACAACGCCCTCCAGACCGGCGCCCTCTGCGTTTAGCGCCCTGCTGATAAGTCGGTGCACTTTTCACCGTAGAGGGCCCTCCTTAGCTGTAGGCGGCCTCCTGACTGTATATCGCCTTCCTCACCTGTCCACACCCTCCTGACTTGTCAGCGCCCTCTTCACTCGTAAAGTGCCCTTCTCATCGTATAGCATCATCCTCACCATACGGCGCCCTCCTGACCTGCCGGCGCTCTCCTCACCATACAGCGCCCTGCTGACTTGTCGGCGCCCTCCTCACGTAGCGCCCTCCAGATCTGTCGCAGCCCTAGTCATCACCGTGCAGTGCCCTCCTCACCTGTCGGCGCCCTCCTCGCCTGTCGGCGACATCTTCGCGTTCTGCGCCCACTGACCACTTGACCAGTCGGCGCCTTCCGCAATGTATAGCGCCCTCATCACCATACAGCGCCCTCGTGACCTGCTGGCGCTCTCCTCACTATGCATCGTCCTCCTGACCTATCAGCGCCCTTTTCACCGTAAAGCGCCATCCTGACCGGCGCCCTCCTCACATTACAGTGCCCTAGCCCCACTCGCCGATTATAATCGTTCTTTTCACCATACACTCCGGACCTGTCAGCGCCCTCTTCACGTTACCTATGTTGTTTACTGACTGTGGTAGGTAAGTTCTGATCATTGTGTGATGTGTTTAGTTGTGTATTATGGTTTTCCATGATCCGTCATATTTTGTGAATTGCCGTAGAAGCTTGAGCTTGAGAGAAGGTGAGCTTCAGAGCAAACCAAGTTCAGTTTAAACTAATTTTGTTTAAAGTCTTGTTTAAAATGTTGGCTTCGCATAATAACAAATATAACCTTGCACGTGAAACATCCAGTTTTTAAGTTTTTACAACTATTTACAATTATAAAAGCGTTAGGGAACGAGCCAATGTTTAAAGCGATTTAGGCGTCAACTACACCTTTTCACTCTCAACTTAAAGGGACCCTCCCACCTTCAAAAAAGTTTATGAATTGGCATGAAAGCGATGTCGCTCGGTTCAGAAAGAGCGAAAACGAATATCTACCAAATTTCACCGAAAAATATTCACCGGTTTTCAAGATATTAGACTTTTACTTTTGTTTACTTTTTGGGATCTCCGCTGTTCCCAGCGACTTTATTTGAAAGTGCGGCACTTGTTGCGCGCAAAGCAGCATATACCACCGCGTGCTACAAAACGTTTTAGTCAAACATTTAAAATCGTTAGATATCTGCGCTGACGTCACACATTCAGAGGGGTATTCCTATGCATTAGCCCCTCTGAATCAAAATGCTGCAATTTTGAAATTCAATATTTCCGATTTAAGGCATTTCTCGATGTTGTGAGTGCCGAAACCGGTAATTGTGAGCCAGGGACCCCACTTTGGCTATCTCAACTCAAATCTAATGTTAAGGTGGGAGGGTCCCTTTAACCCGCGCACCGACGGGGGGGCGGATATCCGCCCCCCCCCCCTGAGGTTTTTCGCGAATAGCGGGAAAACCGCGGCGCGTAGCGCCGCGAAATTTGTTATGACTATTTCCTCATCAATTTTACATATGGTGTGCAAGTTTGAACCTCCTACCTTTCAAGGTCAGGTCACCAGGTCACTTTGAAAGACCCAACCTCGTCACTTTTTGCAACTTTGTCACCGTGCCAGAGCTACAGTAGATGTCGGAGGCCTTTGAAAGTCGCAGGATGTTATGAGGTCATTAGTAGCTACAATTTGTATATCTCGGAATTTTGATATAGGTGACCTAAGGTCAGGTCAATTTCGCGACCTCCCCATTATAAGTCAATGGGGGAAAATCAACTCCCTGTTTTTACCACTAAAACGGGTCGGAATGGCCCCATATACCATACATGACCTCATATACGATCAACCTTCACTACCTTGAGGTCTGTTTTGCTGTTGGGCAGCTGTGAGGTCATGTGACGTCATCAAAGGTCACCAAAGGTTTTTGGCCAATAACTCCGTACAGGAACAAGATACAGACGCGTGGATAGTCTCATTGTGTTCAGCTCGTCAAGACGCATCGAATGATATACATGATAACCTCGAGGTCACGTGACCTGAGGTCAACCTTTGACCTTGACCTTTCGAGGTCAACATATATCATTCGATGCGGATTGACGAGAGGATTACGATGATGCCCTTAGTTTGTTCCTATCTTGACTAATTCGAAAGTTATTCGAGAAAAACTCTCTCCATATCTAGCGCCGCCATTTTGACTTTTTCGACCCCTGTGACGTCATCTTTGACCTGACCTGAAAATGACCTTAGTAAAAATTGTAGATCTTGGCCGTGCGTATTCGATACCGTTTACCGCTTGTCGCTAGCTTGCTTCGTTCTCGAGATCTCAGGGGGGGGCGGTCATCCGCCCCCCCGTCGGTGCGAAGTTGGCGCAGACCCCCGTCGGTGCGCGGGTTAAAATAAGTCACACTCGAATTAAAAAAAAGGTCAAATTCAAATTAAAAAAGGTCACAATCAAATTAAAAAAGATCACACTCAAATTAAAAAAGGTCACATACAAATTAAAAAAGACAACATTCAAATTAAAAAAGCTCACATTCGATTTAAAAAAGGTCACATTCAAATTAAAAAAGGTCACATTCAAATTAAAACTGTATTTCGTTTACCCTTTTCCAGCCATATATTTTGGCAACCGCTTGGCCGATTCATCAGCGGTCTGCAGAGCATCAGATAGCCCAATAATTTTAAAAACTGAATAATTGTTTTGATGTATCCGGGTAACCGTCCCGGCGCGTGGCTGTCTCTCAAATGCCAAATCAGGAGCGTTTAAATGGCTTCTCTCACAAGTCACAAATCTTTGCAAGTATTGGAACGATTATTATGAAACTCATGGCATGTATAACTATTCTATTTTACTTACCTATTTGGGTTCCATGTGGCAATAAATTATCATGTGTCACGGTCGGGGTGTTGTTGCACGTTTGCATGTGTGGGACCCGCTTATGTAGGTATCTCGAGAACAACAAGGGCGATTGCACTCAGAGATGTTACACAGAAGGGGACCGGCTGTCTGGGTGACTAGCATGTCAGTTGCTGTCTCATTTTGCACATGCGCACGTGTTGAGACGAATTTTGCATATCAAGGACGGCTAGGCCGATGGGACTCAAAGCTCGTATGCCGCTAGGGACAGCTATTTGGGTATCCCCTATCCCGTTGATGTCAGGCTCTCACTTTGCATATACGCACGTGCACGCGCAGAGCACTACATATACCTACCAGCCTCCAAACACCCACAGGGCTACATGGACACACATCGAGTACACATAAGTTAAGTGTAACGTGGATACTCAGATTAATCATTACTCTGCGCATGTGCTGACCCTAACTGAAATCAACGGGATACCCAAATAGCCTGTCCCTAGCGGCATATGAACTTTGAGTCCCATCGGCCTAACCGTTCTTGATAGACAAAATTCGCCTCAACACGTGCGCATATGCAAAATGAGACAGCAACTGACTTGCTAAAATCACCCAGACAGCCGGTCCCCATCTGTGTAACAGCTCTGAGTGCAATCGGCCTTGTTGTTCTCGAGATACATAAGCGGGTCCCACACATGCAAACGTGCAACAGCACCCCGACCGTGACACATGATAATTTATTGTCACATGGAACCCATATACAGGGTGTCTCAAAAGTTCGTTTACACATTTCACATGTCAATAAAGCATATAAGAACCGGCCAAAAATCTAAGGTTTTGGTGTCCGTGTGTACACTAGACAAATATGCATGCTTTGACAACTGATTCGGAAGGTTGGAAACCAAACCCTTTGCTGTATCTCCAAAAACATTTGCCCATACCGATTTTCGTCACTCCGTCAGCTGCCGGAGGCTGATAAAAGGTTACTGCAGCTTTCAAGCTCTTGTAGGGGAATCCCCCGCAGTTTCTGCGTCGGATTTAGGTTTGACGAGCTCCCCGGCAACATCCGCTTCTCCCTGAAAGCCGATAGCTTGCATCGACACCATCCGTGAGTATTTTGTAGGTCTTCTCTGGCGCTAACTCCTTCATGAATGACTGGCGCCGACCTCCCAAGCACCATTTTCCTTTTCAAAACAACCCCATTCCTGAACAAATGGGAAGTGCCAGGGGCAAATTTTTCGCAGCATATCGTAGCAGAATGTGTCTGCCATC